AAGTCTGCCTTGGCAAGGGCATGCTCCAGGCCAAGACGATACTTGAGATTAAGGTCAGATTTTGAGAAGCCAAAGTTGGTCAAAACCTATTGGGGAAAGATGGTCAATATCATCCTCAGTCATATGTCCGAACACCGACGTCGCGGCTCAGGGACGACTCACATCATCTTCCTCCATAGAGGTGATAGCGGCGTAGTAGATCGAGAATATTAAGGCTTCATTAGATGGTCTGAGGGGAGTCCTGCCCGCGCCGCCTAGACCATTGATCATCTTAGTAAGGGTCGGAATGTGGACGATCCGCATAAAGACATTCACGTTTCGCGAGAAGACGTCCACGAGAAACGGTACCTGTGATGGCAAGGGGTGGAACTCATCCAGGTTGGGAGCTGAGAGACTCAGATTGTGTCGAAACAGGAATGCATGGCGTTCCGAAGGCGTCCGCTCAATTTCCTGGGTGGACGATGTCTTTCCAGGAGATGCCTCATCCCATGAGCTATCAGAATCGTCTCCTACCAGCCCTCGGGTATCCGTCTCCAGGCAGTCGAGCTGCGGCGAGAGTAAGCGGGCCATTCCGGCAAGATGAAGATGTGACCACAAAGCGCCGACTTACCTCATCATCGACCCGAGACCAAAAGGCGCTGCTCACATAGTGGCTGCGGCTGGCATTCTGCAGGACCAAGCGGCCAAACTGCTTGCGAACACGGCTGATATCGGTGGCGGGTGACAGATCCCTGTGGTGCTCTACATCGCGGTTCTGGCTAGAGCTCCCGGGAGAGTTAACTTCAGATGAGTCGCCGGCGGTCGAGTGAGCTGCTGCACGTGCACGGGCCTGCTCCAGCTGGCCGCTCAGCTCCTTAACCAGCTGCTCGAGATTCCGCAACCGGTCCATGACCTTATCAAGGTCTGGATTGGCGTCCTGCGGTACCGGGGCACTTGATGCCGGGGCATTGTTGGTGAGGCGATTGAAGCGGCGCGCCCACCTCGGCGGGCGGTTGGTCGACGGAAAGACACAGGCAATATTTGCCCGGCTGCAGTTGGAGCAGGGTGACTGCTTGTCACAGCGAACCTTGCGATTGCGGCATACGAGACAGCTGCGCAACTTGGGCGCCTGGACAGGCGCTGTTGACGGAGCACTGGCAGGGGCAGCAGAAGCCGCGGGTTTTTCGGAGCTCGACCCTGAGATAGACACCGACTCTGTGACTGAAATTAAGCCTTGCGACATGCTACGGTCGGAGGAAATGGGCGCTGATATGATTCTAGCCGATCGGTGGTCGCAGTGTGTAGCGGAAAGACTGAGGCTTGCTGTTGTACCGCCGCTTACAAAAGTAGGGGCCTGAACTAGCCTGAAGCAGCTACTCACAACGCATCAGAGTCCATTTACCAATGAATTCTGTTCCGAGAAGTGCGCGAGAACGCACCGAGACACACGACGGCTCAACCAGCTCCCCGAGTTCAATGGCGATGTAATCGAGAGCTGGTCGCGCCTGTTAAGGGCTGATATATTTCAACCATGGGGTGCCTCTCGAGCCCTCTGTCCTTAGCCATCAATCCACTATACCTTGAACAGAAAGTTCCGTCAAAGATTTAGTTCACGCAGTCTCTTCCGAGCGAACGCCCCTGTGAAGTGGAGCCTGGTGATTTTTTGTAAGCATCAAGTACTACAAACTCCTGAGCACCAACGATGGATCCTTCGTGCGAAGAGTGCATCAAAGTATTAGCTCTTTGATCCAAGTCTAATGAACACGCTCCACTGACCACATTTCCCAGGGCACAATTCACAAAGGCCAACCTCAAGGCAAGGAAGAAGAGGTTCACGGTCTGAATACTTACGTTGTCGGCAACCGGACCAATCCACGGGGTATCATAGTCGTCTACTCAGACATTTTTGGCTTACCGCTGCCCAACAACAAATTGATCGCCGACGCCTACGCCAAAAGCGGGGAATGGCTTGTCTATCTCCCAGACTTCTTCAAGGGAGATCCAGTGCCCCTCAAGACTGCCGATGTCCTGATTCCGGTCGATGCAAAAAAACAGTCGGCGTTTGCAAAGTATACAGGCATTCTCGCAAGGGCGCCGTCGTTTGTCATGTGGATGACGAGGCACAAGGAAGGGCCTACCAATAAGGTCTGCATGGATTTCTTGCAGGCATTGAGGCGCTCGACTCCCCCGAGCCAGAAGATCGGCATGGTGGGATTCTGCTGGGGCGGAAAATATGCCATTCGAGCGGGGCTGGAGAGCAATATGATCGAGCTCGACGGCCGGAAAGTGCCGCTTGTAGACGCCGTGGTGGCCTTGCACCCGAGCCATTTAGCCTTTCCGGGTGACGTCGAGGCTTTGGTCGTGCCTGTCAGCATAGGGTGGGGACTGGAGGATGTGGGCGTGAAGATTGAGCAAAAGGGCAAGGTGGAAGACATCCACACGAAAGCAAAGGCGGCGGGCAGAAAGTTGCCAGAGGTGGAGCACAAAGTCTATAAACCGGGACGACATGGGTTTGCTGTCAGAGGCAATCCAGACGATCCAGAGGAGCGGGCATGTTTGGAGGACTCGATGAAGCAAGTTCTGGACTGGTTCGCACGCTGGCTTTGACAGATCTTCGAAGGGATCTCCCAGTTGCGAAAACGATTGGGCTGGTAGTGGTCCAAGGACCATGTAATGAGACACGGTAAGGTTGGACGATTGATGACGGTAGCTTTGGTGTTCAGCAATACCCTTCTCCAAATTGACGCCTAGTAGATATGTTTGTTATGATCGGTGCAGAAAAACACAATCTGACTTCGAGAAACCTGACAGGAATGAGTCGCGCTCGCAAGACATCGTATTCTCGATCAAGATATCGTGCAGAAAGGGGCGACAGTTTTGCCATATCCAGGCCAGCACATAAGCCACAAAGAGATCCATTTTTTGGTCCTGCACCGTCTGATATCTCAACCTTTGAACCCACGTCTCGAATGCTCAAAAATCCCATAGTCGGCTCAACCCTCAAGATCAACTTCCGACAGTCCAAATCTCTCGTATTTTTTCCGTGTATTGTCTGTGATCACAGAAACCATCGATAATCGGGACTAGCGGGTCCTGCGGCGAGGAGTTCCGAGGGAATATCCTTCGCTTCGACGGTGCGGCCGTCTCGGGTATCCCTCCTCTGGTTGTCGATGATCATCCAGGCGCCCAGCAACAACGTGAGGAGACACCCGCAGGCTCCGAAGATTGCTGTCGTCAATAGGGCAGGCATGTACTTGGGGGCATCCTTGTTCTGGAAGATATTGCTCGACACCACGCCCATCATGCTGGCGAATGGGACGCCAATGGCCGTCAGCATCATCTGCTTGTTCTCGTCCTCGATGTTATTGTTGTACCACACGTCGAGGATGACGCTCGGGGCACTGGTGCCCCATGTCATCATGAAGCAGGCAAAATAGACCACGTGGAGCTGAGTGTGGACGTCGACCGCCGCATAGATGATGAAGCCGATCCAGGTGAAAGCGAAGCCCATAGCGACAAAGGGGAAGGGGAGGCGGGTGTAGTCGGAAGCAAATGCCAAAAGGATTAGCATTATCGCACCGGAGATGTTAGGCGCGACTGTGTAAAGGTTCGTCTTAACGGTGGAATAGCCTAGCCGTGAGACGATGACGGGTAGGAACAGAGACATCGATTGGAGTGGGACGCCTAGGAAGATTTCAATCCCGAGAATGATCCAACTAGTGGGGTGCTTGAAGATGGCAAGAGCGGACCTGAGATTGAACTTCTCCCCCACGACTGAGGACGAATCGACCTGAATTCGGTAGAACACGAGCTCCTTCTCCTCGGGCGTGAGGAACCTGGCGCTCTGTGTATCGTACAGCAGATACCAGAATGCAAAGATGGCGAAGAGCATCGTGCAGCCGCCTTCGATAATGAAGAGGTACCTCCATCGAGCCAGGCTACCCGATTTGATCTGTAAGACACCAAACGAAAGGAGGCCGCCGAACGCGGAAGCGATGGACGAGGCGGCGTAGAAGATTGCAAGCCGACGAGCCTGTTCACCACGGCGGTAGGAGGTCGTTTGATAAAAGATGACTGCCAGAGATGAAGTGTATCAGCACCACTATAATTCCACATGGGACAACAGCGGAAAGGAAAGATATGGTTGGGAACTTACCAAGAGGGAAAAAAGCACTTTCTGCCATGCCCAGAAACCATCGTAGAGCAAGCAAGCCGCCGAAATTGTAGACGGCAACAACCATCTGTAATAGGTTCAGTCCATTAGATTCAGCCGATCGAAATGGAAAAAGTAAAGAAAAATAAAACCCCCCTCCCGAAAGGTGTCGTGCTGGCAGCGCCAACGTGTACGCGAGACAGTTATAGCCACGTAGACAGTCAGAGAATGCGAACTGGCGAGGACTCACCAAGCTGAAGAAACCGAAACTCATCATCATGATGGGCAGGACTCTGCTGCGGCCATACTTCTTCCCGGCAACGCCGAGGAACGGGGCGGTGAGGACGCACGGCACGAAGAGGACAGACAAGGTGATGTTGTAGTCATCGCCGGTGAGGTGCAGCGTCTCTTCCAGATGGGCCGTCTTCGCGTTGCCCAGGTTCGACTTGTCCAGCGAGTTGAAGTGGTACATGACAGCTAGGGTGGGGAGGATGCGCAGGTCGAATTTGCGCACCAGGCGCCGCTCGGCGGCCGGATCGATTGCGACGCTGGCGGACACGCAGCGCGTCTCGCCCAGCGACGTCGTTGTGGCTATACCGTCTTCTACAACCTGAAGGTCCTTGGTCGAGTCTGCTGTCGCGGCGGGGCTGGCAGTCTTCATCCTTTCAGTCGACATTCTGGCAGATGTGTGAATAATAGTCGCTGTTGTTCCAATCGGGGCGGGGACCGGTAGTGGTGATGTTGTAATTTTCGTTTGCGATGGAGTAGCCGGACGGAGATGCGCAATTTGGTTTGGAGCTTGAGGGTATTTGTGCTGGATATCGATACCATTTCGAACTTGACTTGAGAGAGGATATGGCTATTTATGTTATTGATGCTCGAAGAGGCAGAGGTAGAGTTTTGCATGCATGCATGCCAGGTCGGATTCAATCCTCTCCGCAATATTGATGATGTGTTCGCCGCTGACTTCTCGAAGGCTGGCCACGGAGCTGATGGTAAAGAAAATTGAGAGAATTTCGTTAAGAATGACGGTAAATGCGGTCATGGCCACGAAGCAGTGTAATCCTGTTACCAATTCTGGCCTTTTTGCCTCTGCGTCCGAGGACCCCGATGTAGCCTCCTCGAAATCGGATGCTGTCAGACTAAGTGTTGTGGTGTTGGTAGTGTTAATGAACGACGGCCTCCCCAGAGCCATAGCGAACCTGATGGCACGGATTAGTCAAGTCCATGGAGCATAATGTAGATAGGATGCTTCGTCTACCATTTGTCTTGCATGTAAGCACCCCACCACGATCGTTTTCTCCGTCGCTTTATCGACTCGGGTATACTCCAGTTGGAGAAGTCAATGTTTAACCCGAGATCATGGCACATGGCCACAAGACACCCAATCGCGGCATACATTCCGGGGGCGCTGGTGCTCCTGCTATGATTAGCCAACCTGATAGTATAAAAAAGAAAAGGCACCCAGATCTTCCCCGTAAAGCTCTTTGGGTGAAAAGAATTGCTGCTTCAATAGTCTCAAGTGTAGGAGACCGCGCTTCCAGGAGCAAAGATGCAGTCGTATCCTCGATCAGAACATTGTTGTGGAGCCCTTCCAGCTCCGGAGATGTATATTTTGATAGAATGGCGATTGCATTTGTGAGAAGCCTGGACTGCTTCTGGCTTCTGATGAGACTTTCGTCAAGTAAAGGGATTGCTGGGTGAGATCTCTCGAGGAAGATCATCTGAACCACTGAAGCACTAGGCTCTATCGAGCGAGCACGATGGGTTGAAAAGGCTGACGCCACCGATGCGGACGAAGATGCGCGTTCCTTCCACGGATCAGATCAATCAATGCAACTGAGTGGGCACATGGATTATACTCAAAAGTAAGCCTCGTGTACCGGATCGTTGCCGACGGGTTGGTTTCGCTCAGCCACAAAATAGACATCGTCAGTACCACTCAACCCAATGTATTTTCCATCGATCCGATTCTTTCGTCCTTCGGTGGCATTCGCGGTGGGAACGACCACATGACGACCACCACCAGAATTGGCTGGTGTCCCGACTGATTTTTCCGAGGTACCATCACGAACAGGAGCACTTGACTTGGTGGGTGATCGGGCTCGACGCTTCCTAGGAGATGGCTCCGAGCTGAATGTACATGGGATCGATCGTCTGCTGCACAACGCACAAGCACCTTCCGCATCCCGAACACAGCAGATGCGGCGATGCCGACGATTGTCACAAGGCTTCTGCTTCCGCGATCGGTATTTCCTTGCGGCGGGAACCCTGGCTGAAGCCATGGCTGGGAGGAGTTGCAGTTCCTTGCGCGAACTTCAGTCTTGCTAAGATCAGATACAAAATCAACATGATCGACAGTGCGAGCCGTAAAACATTAGAAGCGACGCGCAAAAATACCTTGATCATTATGGGAGGAGATGTCGATGCTTCTGATTGGTGTTGTAGCGGTGGTTTGGGATAAGACGAAGCCGCCCAATTGGTAGGGGAGATGTGGCGGACAAGGACTTTTGCAGCATTTTCGCAAAGCTAGTTCATCTTTGCCAATATCGGGAATCCCTTGACAAAGGCTGTATACCGAGTACTTAGAATCGTCTTCTATGATTGAGCTGGTTTGTGTTTATCTTGCCGTTAGACTGTATGTGCTTGATCGAGTAGAGAAATGACGCCTAAAAGTGTTCATAAGACTGCCTTTTTAGTAGTACTATAGGCGTGGACGACGGTTACCTTTAGGAGATCATTGAAGTGTCACAAGAGAACGAGGTGATGCAGCTGATGATCTTGCTAGTTTAGAGATACACTTCATCCCCCGTTGCTGCATTCCAGGACGAACCTGATATCGCCTTCGAACTGCGAACCCGTGATAATGTTTGTCTGGCCACGCCCTCAATAGCGAAGAATATGATTTCTTCCTTCTAGACGAAATCATGTCAGCATTCTGCCCCTAGGAAGAATTGCCGACTGAAGGCAAACATGTTGTCGAAGGCGCAGAATTCCGGAGCACCCAGTGTAAAATGAATAGGGAGTTTGGAACGATATTCTTGTAGAAAGTCCCAGAGCTCCTGATGCTGCTGGTCATCCAGACGACGTAGAATGTATGCGAGGCTCATGTGAAAGGAATATCTGTCGTGAGCAGGATGGTACATCTGAAGGAGCTCAGAGAGGCGCTTGCGAAGACCGCGAAGCCTGGCTTCATCGGTGGGAGTTGCAGGGACGACCTTCAGGGCAATGCCATCCACCAGTGGATCGTAGCTGACTATTGTCATGTGAAATGGTGCCTCGCTGCCGAGATCAAAGTTTTTGAGCTTCTCCCTGAACAGATCTGTGCACATATCCAAGGGCGCATCGAGCGGCAAATCTGCCGGCCACACATGGGGCTCCCGAATCTGATCAGTGACACCTTCAAAGATAGTCATGTGCCAGCTTTGGGGCGGTAACAAGGTGTATTGCGAGGCAAGCTTGTGACTTTTAAGCGCATCATGCAGACCCAGCATTGCGCGGTATATGGCGCGTTCTGGGGAGAGATGGCAAATGATAGTGTTTCCGGGAAAAGGTAGTAATGTTCCATCAGGTTCAAACTTCCTGCCGATCCACTCTGGGTATTCGGGACGTGGGAGATCAGGCTTGGGAGCACCCTCGGCCGGGTTAGCCATGTTGAGCAGTGCGGCTCCCTTCGATGAGGTGGATTTTGCGGTAGATGAGGCTGAGACACAGAACCCTTGTGGACAAAGGTTTGAGATAGCTGCACTTGTGGCTAAAGATCAGAGGATAGCTGGAAGAGGTGGTTGATATGTGTGTATGAAACGGCGACTACCTTCAAGGCTCAAGCCTCCCCCCTTGGTGGATGTTGCCGCTTGGTGATACCCCTCGTGAGCGTTGTGGGTCTGTCCTTCGTTCTGTCGCGTGGAAAACTTAGTAAACGTGACGAAGCTGTATGGTCCGAAGTAACATGTCGATGGTTGTCATCCGTCCATGTCTTGAAAGCTGTTAGTGCTTCAAGCTTTGCTATAGTGTCTAGCAGGAAGAATAGGCCAATCCCGTAGCGTATGCGTTTTTAGCAAGTGTGAATCCCTAGCAGCACGTGGACTGACTAGCCATTCAGCGAGGCCTCCAAGAAAGAGGGAAAACAGAGAAAACCCCGGATCGAGATTGAATCTTGAGGCTAGTCAGAGAGGCAATGAACGCGTCAAATCGTTTGCACCAGCCGCACCAAAGCCTGGAAAGGATGGGGCTTTCTTTGTCTGGTATAGCTCTGCCTCGATGAAGATGCAAACTTCGAGCCACAGATACGCCATCGACCGATAGATATAGTGAAAAACATGACGCCTTTGAACGCTTCTATAAATACCATCGGTCATTCCATGTCGTTGTGGCGACATGGCATCATCCCCTCACGTTTTCAGCTGCAAGATCAGCTTCATCTGCATCGTCTCGGCCACATTAGCAACCCTTTGTGGCGCAATTAGAGCTGAAGAGTGATACACGAGCGCATTCGTTTTTTCTTTTAGTTCGTCAATGTTGGTTGCCCTGACGCCTCCACCTGGCATGACCACAACCCGGTCACCCGCCTTCTTCATAAGCTGTGCCAGAACATCACAACTCTGAATGGCGCTTGAACCTCCACCTGAGGTGAGAATAGTCCTAATCTCACAAGTGATGATGTCCTCGAGTGCTTGAAACAAATCTGCGGTTTCATCAAACGCGCGATGGAAAGTGCACGGTAAAGGAGCTGCTAGCTTGACCAATTCTGATGTTCTTGTGATATCGACGGTCCGGTCCGACTTGAGAATGCCAAATACAAAGCCATCTGCGGTGGAACCGAAACTCATGATGGTATCCCTCATCTGCTGCAATTCCCAGAGCGAATACTCAAAATCACCGCCTCGAGGGCGAACCATGACATAGATGGGTATCTTGACCTTGTCTCGCAGGCCAGTTAGCCAACTCAAAGGTGGCGTTGTCCCTCCAACGTCTGCATTATCGCAAAGTTCGATGCGATCTGCTCCGGCCTTGCTTGCTACCACCGCAGAGTCAGTATTAAAACAAGCAATTTCAAGGAGTGCCATGGGCGGATTGATTCGTCTGTTGACAGAATTGGTGTGCCCGTCCTGCCGTGAAAGGAAAGATATACACATCTGCTTAAGGAAGGATCCCCGAGGCTAGATGATGTAGTCGTATTTGCTAACAACTCCGTCTGCTACAGCTCGAGATTCCTCTACTATCATTGCATGATATGCCGACTTTGGCCATTACTCAATCGAAATATTTCACCGTTGTCTCTGTGCTGATCCTGATTCTCGCCCTATTTCCAGGGTTTCCACAGTATATTCTAGGTCTTCCGCTCCGACTGCTCGTATATCCTTTCAAATCGCCCGCGACCCTCTCCGTGGCTTTTGAGTGTCCTCCGGGCTGCGTCGCGCAGAACACGCTTCACAACATGTCTACATCGTGGTTTCAGAAAACATTCACGCTTCCTGCGAAATCTCGCGGCTCCTACCTCATTACAGACCACGTTGTGTCGTCGATACCCGAGATTAAGGAATATAAGGTCGGGCTTCTGAACCTCTTTATTCAACATACTTCATGTGCGCTCTCTTTGAATGAGAACTGGGACAGTGATGTCAGAGAAGATATGAGCGATGCGCTTGATAGGATTGCTCCAGAAGATAGGAAAGGCAATCTATACAGACACTCGGCAGAAGGCTTGGATGACATGCCTGTAAGTTCAGATCGACCGCAGGACGCTTATGTTCATTCTCACGTGTCAACTAGGCACACATCAAGTCAGCACTCATCGGCGCAAGTGTCACAATCCCCATCACAGACGGCACCTTAAACACTGGGACATGGCAAGGTATCTGGTACCTGGAATTTCGAGCAGCAAAGCATTCGAGAAAGGTGGTAGCGACCATTCAAGGCCGGACACAGTGAGGACTTTATCACGTTCCAGCCGCAGTTTCTAAGGCATTGTATACGTCAAGTCCGTCATGAACCATCTCGCGCGTTAGCTCTCGAGGGCTAGTTGCTTCATTGACGGTACTCGGTGGTACACAATCATACGCTCGAAATTCTCTAGTTGCAGCCAACCCTAGTGTTCCGGCGGATACTCCCACAGGGCTTCTCAAGACAGTCGGTGCCATTTGCCGGGTTTCATGTTAGGCAAGTGGTCTAGCCTGTTAGGGGCTCTTCACCATTCCCCATTTTAATGAGGGATCAAGGTATAGCTTCGTATGCATAACCTTGCTCACAGGCATTGAGAAACGCTGTTCACAATGTTGGCATCATGCCCGTGGAGTTAACACTGCCTCCAAATAGGTAGCATCTATCGAATGAGAGATGGGACATCTCTATTGCTGTTTCGCAGCAACGAGAAAGCAATTGGGTAGAGTGGACAGGAGAGTGGGATTTACTCCATGTGGATGGGCGAAAGCCCCTTTGACGAGCGAGAATTGTGGAAGAGAAACCGCTGCTGTCTCGTGTTTTGTGCAGAACGCGCGACTTTGCTTCAATTTCCTGCGCTCGCTTTTTGTGCTAGTCCACCATCGCTATCTCCAGAATGGACCTGCCATTAACACCATTTGAAAACTTCAGAGTATCGAGAACAATACCGTAGCGGTCCAAGTGGAGTCCAGCCTTGCAGACGATCCTAGTATCGGTGAAATGTTTTCCCGCGACCATGCGAGGCCCAGGATGCGCGATGCAACTTTTGGCTTTCAACTTTTCTTCACGACATTGTGAACTCCGTACAACCACTCTATGTTTAAACAGCGCGCACAACCTGTGTTGCCCAATTACTACCATGCACGACTGAGATAGTTGACGTCGCAGCGCGTATCAGTCCTACGGCAGTGTCAGTCTGAGGTTGTCGCTTCTGCTGCGTCGTGAGTTGAGCACGCCCTTCTCAACCTGTCTTAAGATTTAAATACTACCAGTCCTTGCATCATACCCATAGTGAAGGATAACCTACTGGCGCAATTGCGATCGGCAACATGGCAGGCTTCTCCAATGTGCGAACGCCGTCGCAAGAGCAGCCGAAGCAGATGTCTTCACGACTGCTGAACATGAAGGTGAGTCAACTTCGAACCCACCCCCTCCCTGTACCAAGAGCTTCTGCTTCAAACCACGGCAGACCAGATATATTAAGTCTATGGTTTGCGGATTGCCTATAGTTCATGCAAAGAGCCGCTGCCGCAACCTCCAGCGCAACATCTACCCCGGCATCTTCTACTGTCCAAACGCCGGCGACTGAGCCGCTTGCCAAACGCCGAAGAATCGACAGTGCTACTTCCTCTCCAGTAACTTCTACCCCTGGAACGCCATCGAACGCTTTTGCATACTCTGGACTCTCAACGCCAATTGCATCACACAGTGCGGGTTCGGGCATCGCTCCAAGAGACGGAACAAGTACCTTCACCCGGTTCGAAGGTGCAGATACGGAATGGGTGCTGGACCTGAAAATGAAGTTTCCTGGAGACAACAGAGTGAAACCGCCAGCCGACAACGACGCGAATGCTAAGAATCAAGGATTCAATGCCTCAAAGGCTCGTTTCGGCGTATTGAACGGGTGGGCGGAGGAAGAGGAAGAGGAACGCGCTGAGGGAGAAGACATTTGGAATAATGATCAGCCTAGCGGCCGACAGACCTTCGGGTCGTTTGATAGGAAGCGGAAACGAAAGGCTCATACCCGACAGGATCAAGGTCTGGATGACAATGATGAACAAGATCTGAGCCCAGCTTCGGACTCGGATGCAGACGACGACTCAGAGTCAGACATGTCTGATTCGTCCAAGAGATCAATATCACGACAACGTAGATATCCTACAAAGTCTACAACGGAAATCGACTCGGACGAAGAAATGCACCGCGTTCGAATGGCAATTGAGCAGAAACACCGGAGTATGAAGGGTGTCGGGAATTTGGCGAGGACCGTTTCGGGTTACGGTTCTGCCAACGCCTTTCCCTCGGGGTCCGGTCTTGCCCCCAACGGCGAGAAAGGAGGGAAAAAGCGGAAGAGAAAACAGGGGAGTAGTAGTCATCAATCGACGAACAGGGCGAGCAGGAACAAGAAGGCACGGAAGACAATGTGATCGGTCCAGCGTGAGGTGTATGGTGCGATGGTACTGCGCCAATGTGACGAGCATAAGCATGAGTGCCAACGATAGCGGCACCCTTGGTAACGAGCATTTTGCATATCGTGCGTGCCAGTAGAGATCCATCCCGCCGCCATGAGTTGAGCGATGCCGATCTTGAATTGGAGCTGGAGGGGGATATTTCCTGTTACCGAGTTCATCCCTCTCTTCTTGGGCTTTCCACGATCGGAGACAGGGACAGGGACCGAGAGAGTCGATTCTCCGCCGTCCGAAAGCCGAGCAAAGAAAGACTTAACTTATTACGGTACTTCACGTCGAGAATTTGTTCTCGTTATTGGCTTATTGTATCGCCATTTTCCCTCGCGGATGCGGAATCCTTCAACCACCAAGCCGGTTTCATAATACTCCATACATACACCTAGATACTGTACCTCGTATCATGGTGTTAATCGGTACCATCCGGGGGAGGATTCAGGCGCCATACTCCCTCCACAACCAGCGCTCGGCCTCGTCAGCCCGCCTCTCCATCCTGTCCATTTCGCGCCAGATATCGTCCTCCCTATCTCTTCTGTCCCTATCCCTTATTGATCCTCTTCTTCTTCCTCTTCTCCTGCGCCTCCCATGGGGGTCGCCGTCGCCAAAATCATAATCATAATCAAAGTCGTCATCGTAATCATAAATGAAGTCAGGATGATACCCGAAATCATGTAAAACCAAACCGTCGTACATGGGCTCGAGGCCGCAGGAGCTGTGGCGGCGATCGCGACCCAGATCGCCCCGAGGCGGACCAGGACGGCGGCGTCGACGTCTGCTTGAGGAGGACCGGCCGTGTTGGTGTCGAGGCGCTGGGCACTCGTTGTAGAAGTCGTAGTCAAAGTCGCCAACATAGCATGCTATTATTTCATCATAGGAGCCATCATCGCGGGGCACCCAGCGGCGGCCGCAGCGGCGTCGGTTGCTACTGCCACGGTGTCGATGGCGATCCCGACTCCGACTCCGGCTCCCTCGGGGCGGCGACCGTCCTCTGGACCCCCTTCGTCCTACACGTCCATGGCCGTCATTGCAGTACTCACACACGACCTCCACTTCGCCATGCGGACAGTCCTCGAGCCTCGGCGGACCGCTGGAGCGGCCGAAGTCGTAGTCCCAGCGGTCGTGGTCTTCGTCGTAAAAAGGACCTCCGATGCTGATACCCGAGCGGCTCTCCAAGTTGCGGTGTCGACGGTCGCGGGGATAGACGCCAGAGAAGACGGCCGAGAGGGCGCGCGATTCGGGATGGCTACTTTTCCATTTGCAAAAGATAACATGTCAGCGTGCGCAAATAGCAGGCCTCTGTTTTCAATCCCAAGATGTAGGCAGGATGGGCAGATAGATATAGAATTTAATGGGATCATGCCTGGGTACTTACTCTCCTCTCCGCCTACGCCGGCCGCGGCCACGATCACTACTCGTACTAGAACCTCCTCTCGTCGGCCCTGAGAACCTTACCGAGTGTCCTTTGGAATTGGGAGTCTTCTTGTAGCTGGTACCTTGATCATCATCGTAGCTCCCCCTATCATAGCCGGTCTCTGGGTCGTACCAGTGCAGATTACTGTCCGAGTCGATCCACGGAATAGGCAATCTTCTCGGCATCCTCGCAACCAATGCCACTCTCCCTGAGAAGGCAATGCTGGATTCGTCGACGATTGCGGTTGGCAGAGTGTGAGGCTCCGCTCGGTAGGGGGTCTCGGTTCTGACTGATGGCAGCCGGATCGTATCTGGTCTTGTGCAGTCGACCTCCTGGAGACGAGATTTCGAAGGTGAAGGGCAGGATAGCCTTTGCCGTCTAGCAAGACCGGACACCCAGGCTCTCATAGTTGGGAATTCGGGTCATCCATAACATATGTACTTTTCATACCCTGACTATTATCATCGCATGGTCTCTCAACGGGGCCATGGGAGCACGATACCCACAATAAGGAGGATTTTGGGCACGCCGTCCTCTCCGGTAGAATTAGTCCCGTGGGCGCTTCGACTTCTGCTTTACCAGGGAATGACGGATGCATCAAGTTCTCTTAGGTTGACCGCAACATGCGCGACGAATAGTGCTGATTCATTGACACGAGTCGCCCAGTGTAGCTTGTGAGGGTACACAAGCCCGTCGAGATGGCAGAGGTTTGGAAATTATACCGGCTTCCCGGTGCCCCATTTGTAGAGATGTGGTGAGATGCTTGAGCCGGGGATGTATATCCGGGGTATCTGAGAGAAAAGAGGTTGCAGCTGACTGCTCTATTCCACTTACGGATGATTTTTCACCATCACATCTTCGTCTTGGAGGATCATCGACAAAGTGTGGAGCATGTTGTAATGGTCGGCTCACAAGAAAAGTTTCACCCAAAATTTCATGCGCGCCTTAATCTGCTGTGCGCGACCGTGACACTGCCGTGCCCTTTCCGGCAAATAACATTGTGGCAGCATGCCGTATTGACAACATTGGACAATAAAATAATGCTTCCGATAAAGATTCAAGTTGCTATTTCCACTTCTGCTTGCAGATGAGTTGGAATGGCAGTGGAAAAGGGTGTTACAGAAAGAGTGTTGAGCAACAGTTCCTGAGTTTCCCGAATGTGCTCTCAGCTCTTGCCTCTCTCTCATCTTGCGTAGATCCTTTCGCATCCAGGGGCTTTCAAACCTGAGCAAGCCAATTGCCTCGCTGCTTTTCTTGTATAACACTGTGTGGCACGATACCGCGGTTGGAGCCGTCCATGCGGCTCGAGCAACGGGGCCTCAGCAGGCGAACGGAGTGGACATACCCTCACCCATCCGCAAATGGAAGAGGACAGTATATCCCCGAAAGTGAGGGATATCCGACGTGTCAAAGGCCACACAGCTCATGCTGGAGAGTGAACCACTTCGAGGAGTCTTGTGAGGGGACAGCCAGTCGGACTTGCCGCAAAGCAAACAACGGTCGTGTCACGCACATTGGACTTCAGAGTGGTTGGACAAGCAAACCCTCCTACCTTCAGTATGCCCAAAGGAGGACAAAAAGAGGTTGGAAGGCGAGGCGCCCTTGCTAAGCAAGCAACCAGTGAGGCGAGAATGCGGCACGCCTGACTAAAGAAGTGAGGGAAAGAAGCAAGACAAGACAAGACTAGACGGGTGCAGGTGGACCCCTGGGTGCGATGGTAATCTTGCAGGGAATCATGGGTGATACAATCTGTGGTACGAACCTACGCGAGACGCCACCGACAATCGACAATTCGCCTGTAAATGAGGACGCGGCGCTGGAAAAAGGCGCTGCTGCCTGCGTGGAAAGCAGATCGGCAGTCGAACAGGAAAACAGGACGCCTGTGATGAATCAGAAAGCTTGACAGGCTATAAGGGTTTAAACAAGTCAGAGAAAGGAAAGGGTATTCTCCTTTGAAGTAGGGCATCCAACAGGAAAGCCAAAGCCACAACCGAGCTCGACATCCACGTAAAGCCCGAGAAAGCAGGATTGTAAACACACACGCGTAAAATGATTCAATAGTGACCTCCTGTCAACCATACTGCCCTTTGTTGTTACTCTCATTCACTCGTTCTGATTCCCCTTCCGCATGACACCGCCACAATCAGGCCCAGTACAAGATGCCCATAGACGCCGAGAACGGGTTGCAGAGAGAAGGTTGGGTTGTTGCTGTCTGGTTCCGGCCTTCTATTCGCCCGCCTTGCTCTTCTTCTTTTGCTCCACCTTCAAGAGAAGTGCTCGGTTGATGTGAGGAAGGACGCCACCGAATGCGATGGTTGCTCTGATCAAGGTGTCCAGCTCTTCATCACCTCGAATGGCAAGCTGCAGATGGCGCGGGGTGATACGCTTGACTTTGAGATCCTTGGCTGCGTTGCCTGCCAGCTCCAGGACTTCAGCGGTCAAGTACTCTAGGACGGCGGTGACATAGACGGCAGCTGCACAGAAAGATGATTAGTAGCTGCAATCCACCACTTGGTGGAGAGGGCGGCTAAAGTTATGCATACCTTTGGCTCCAACTCTCATCTTGTTTTGTGTGTTGTTCTTGAGGAAACGCTTAACGCGACCGCATGGAAACTAGGAAAAGACGCGTCAGTTTTGGTCTGATGAACAAAGGTGAGGCGCAGAGCGAGTGCGCTCATGGCTGGTACACGGATAGAGGAGCGCCTCCGATCGCCGCTGATAGAGATGACAGGTTTATGTCGCGTTATCATCACCATCGTCATCGCAGTCATCAGTCTCGACCGCTTGATGGCATCCAGTCCAAGTCCGGACTTCCATCTTCTGCCCAGCTTGTCGCAAGAAGGGTGAGCTCACCTGAAGACCAGCCTTTGCGCTGTGCGACTTCTGAGTCTTTGCCGTGGAATCCTTCGCGCCTGAGGCCTTGCCACCAATGCTCTTGCCCTTGCCTCCTGCCATTGTAAGCGGTGTGAATGAGGATATGTGTGGAAAATTTGAGATGATGCGACGAGGATATCGAAGAGGACGATCGATGAAACTCTTGGTAGACGCGTCGGATTGTTGATATCGAGGATGGGGAAATGGGAGAGGGCAAGGAGAGGGTCAAGTGGTGGAGGATAAGTGGGTGGCAGGCACAGCGAGCAAAATACCAGTCGAAGACGCAGAGGCAACCATGATTGGCCCTACGCCGCTTTTGGTGGAGCATGCGGGGCTTGGCATATTTGGGAAAAATCCCGCCACCTTGTCACTGCGTCGTGCGTCTGAGTGACGCCAGCCTGACCGTGACGGCTCGGATGTAGGCAGAGGCCACGCTTGTGGTGAAAAGGGATCCTGCGAGAAAGGGTCAATAGATCTCAAAGTGTACCAGGAGACAGTGAAGGCTCCTTTCAGTGGAGGGGAAGACCATGTTGCCTAACCAAACGAAAGGAGCTCAAGTTGGCAGTTTCTGCAGGCTGCTAGTAGTGATTATATTTTACCATTCCCCCTCCAGGTGTTTGGGAGGTTTAATTTTCTGTTCTTTCTTTTTAGATGACGGTCGCGCAGAGATCATTCGCTGTAACCGCCATCTGCATCATCAAGCTTCTGACAAGTCTTTCGAGAGCAGAGTGTTACTGGGACTTGTCGCGGAGTGAGTAGGAGGGAAGATACAGCGCAGCGGTTGAGGGGAAGATTGTCTTGGCGTGTATTATGTAAACATACGTAGATGTCATTGGCACAGTGATTGGCACCGAATCGGCACCGAATCGGGTGGTTCGTGATGGAAGCGACCAGACAAGGCTTGAGGGGATTGTTGGACAAAATCAAGATCCATTCTGATCAAACAAGTAATCATCTGGTATTACTAGCAGTCCTTCAAGTGGCCTGCCGACGGATTAAAACGAGTGTATCCCATACATAAATCCCTCTCCCGCACAGGCAAAACACAAATCATGACGAGGAGACTCGCTCCGTCTCGTCCCATACCAAACTGACTGCACTGTAGGTGGCAAACTCGGTATGAGCTCCTTGTCAAGCGCTCTGGCGCTCAACGCCCATAATGCACTGCTCTCTCGGAAATTCAAGTCAAGAAACAAAGTGTACAAGCCAGGGTCAATCATTCTTTCTTGGGGACCTCGTAACAAAATGCTTTATGCCGCACCCGTGGAGTCCTGTCTCATTTCGTTACAACAATCTTTTTCTGTAGTCCAATCATGCAGTCATGTAGGCTGCCCTATGCGTCTAACTTTTTGCTGTTTCCTGATAGGAGGTGGTCATGTCGTTCGTGGATCATTGACTCGTCATTGCTCAGCAGAGAGCGTCATCAAAGTAGGGGGTATATGCTAAGTCTCTTCATTCGGCAATTGCTGATGCGGCCGTACGCAATTCGTCGCTGCCACGCCCGTTTTGTCGGCGGAATCCGATGGCGCTGGTTGAACTCGGTCCTCGCGACTGACGCAGTGGGTTGGTATTCTGGGAGGTGCTCTCTGGTCCTATGCTCACAGTTCGCTTGCTGCCAATGGGAGCGGTGGGCTGGTAGTTTTGACCGTCAGTCCAGTCGGATCCGTTCCCAAAGAAGCTGCGTTGCCGGCGGGGGCTGGTCTGGCTGCCGCTGTTGTTAGTCATGGAAAGATTGGAGAAGCTAGAGATGAGGAATGGTTCATCTCGGTTGGCACCCGCATTAGAAGCCGTCGGAGTCAATGTAGGTGTGTTGGAGCCGGCTGTGTCGTTCAACGCTTGCAGACGTGCTCCGTTAGTTTGCAAGGCTGCAGGGAAGCTCGCAGAGGAAGGCACGGGCGACGGGCTCCATGATCGTAGGTCAGCAAACGACTTGGCGTTGCGGAGATTGTTATCGGCATTTCTACCATAGGCGCTGGAATCCATGACGTCCAGCAGCCCAACCGAAGACTGTCCGCGGAGAGTGTTGAAAGCAGGACCTTCATATTGTCTGCCATCATTGAAATCCGCTGTAGAAGACCTGGCAATAGTCTGGCGCATGCTGTCACTCGACCCGAATCCTCCTGGCAGAGTCGGCGGGCTAACATTCGTACCAGGGGCTGGTCGGTGAATATGAACCTGCCGCTGATCTCCAGTACCGCGGGATGTGTGCATCAAACCCATATGGTGGGCCAAGGTATGGACAATCCGACGATGGTGAGGTTCTAGTGTTGGAGGGAATATGAGGACTTCACGAGTAGGATCTCGTCTAAACAGGGTCATCTCGGTGTAAAACTCGAGAGTCTTCGGATCATTCATGTCAACATCTAAACCTTAGTTAGGCTGTTTCCAGTGCAGAGGGAAAGGGACCACTCACCAGGCATTGTGCTGCGGTGTGACAGGGGGGATGGAGTGGTTCGTGAAATAGACGACAATGAAACCTGGTTATGAAGTTGCGATTGCGCCATAGGACGGTGCTGTTCCTCCAACTGACCGCGGCGTTCACGCTTCTCCCTTTCAATACGCTCTCGCTCAGCGAGAGGCAGCATTTTCTTGTATTCCACACGCAACTTGCGACCGCTCAAGTCCATATGGTTGAGGGCTTGAATGACTTGTTCCGTCTCCTGTGGAGAAGTGAAGTTGGCAAAGGCCAGACCCCGGAAGACACCGTTGTCAAAATGATAGTTAAACGCATATGGCAAAGGCAGGTTCATATCAACCATTAACTGGACGAGTTGCTCCTTCTTGACAGCGAAGGGGATGTTCTTGATCACAATCGCAGTAGGAATCAGCTCGTCATCGTCTTCCTGCTGGTCATTACGGCCTTGAGGACCCGGTCGATGGCCAACGATGGCAGGGTGCTGTTGCTGTAACTGTCCTGGCTGATCGTACCAAATCTGGGTCTGGTCAGTCAGCCGACATGTGCCGCATTCATGTTGTGAGCGACTTACGTTCGAGATGCCCACACGGCCTCGGCTGGGTTTGACGCTTCGCGACGGTCCATAGTTGGCATTTTGAGGAATGCCGCCCATGCCGTTACCAAAGGATTGCAAAGAGGCACCACCAGAACTCCATGTTTGGGCGGCGCTTGCATCATAGGGAAAATTGATGTTCCCAACCCCATGGTTCTGCATGGGTGCACCAAAGCCATCTCGCATGCCATCGAAACGCATGTTAGGCAATGCGCTCTCAGCCCCAAACATTGGAGCACCCATGCTTCCATAGGGGTCGGCCCTACCGCCCTGGCGGTTCAACTGTGCACTTCGATATGCTCTTGGGGATGTGCTCGAGACGTCATCATAGAATGCGTCGGAGGCGTTGGAGAAGGCTGCCATCTTTACGAAGCCCCTAGTCCAATGCTATCTCTTTCTATTACAAGTTCGGCCCCCGACCAAAATCCACCACTGTTCTTCACGTCCAACTGTGCCTCTGGGATACTGAGGATATGGAAACGATCCTCCGTCAATGACTGTAGGCGATGAGGGACGCGCCAAGGACAAGGGAAGGATGCTTCGAGCCCGTGCTACGTACAAGCCGTAAAATGAGTAGCGTCGAGATTGTTTGGTGTGTAAAGGAGAGACGAGTCGCAGAATTAGAGGGAAAGGGTAGTAGACGTCGTGAGGGCGTGATTTGCCCGCGGGCTGAAGCAGCGCGTTTGACTGCGTGAGGAAAATGTAGAGTAGGTTGCCGTAAAAGTCGAGCCTGGTCGAAAATCGAGTCGAGTCAAGATCCCGCAGGAAATTCGAACGAGTAAAAGGACGTGGACAGGGGCGTCTAACTCGAACAACGAGACATGATAGAGATGGGTGAACTATGAGCCAGCGTACACAAGAGCGCCAGAAGGACAAGATGCGAGTAGTCACAGGGCAAACCGCTGGATATTCGTGAGATGAAAGGGAGAGTGTCAAATTATGGAAAAAAGGAAGACGGGGAAAGATTTTGTCCAAGATGTTGTTTTGAGACAAAGAAATTAGGAGAAGTTTTTTGGCTGCGAAGAGACCGATTCACTAAAGTTAGAGAGTTAGCACGAAGGGCAGGTGCGTGCCAGCAGCCCAAGGTTGAAATGGTGGGTTGGGTCGCTCTGGTGGCCAGTGGCCACCCCTGGGCCCTGGGCAGCGACTGGGGGAGGCTGCCACCTGAGAGTGGCCTGGAATGGCCTTGCGTGGCCAACCAGAGCATTGCCCACTACCAAATCCTCAGATTTCGCGGTGATTAAACAGCGTCGACAGCCCCGGAAGCCAGTTCAAGCTGGGTCTCGCTCGGCCTCGCTGGGATGGTCAGTGGCACTTTAAGCTGCCCACAAGCTGCCCACTAGGCCGAGTTAGCGTGGTCCAGCCAAAAGGGTAAGCTAAGTAGTAGAAATCATCGACAGCCACGATCCTATCCACCCCATGCACCCCATCGACGCAGGCCCTTTGATCGCAAAGCATCTCATCGTTCTGTTTCTCTCTTGAATCGCCTGGTGGTTGCCGTCGTAATATCTAGCCAAAGAGGATCCCCGTATCGGCTTGCTCATGAACTTTGCTGTTGGGCAAGAATAGGCGTGGGCGTAGGCCAAAGGGAAACCGCTGGGTCATGGGGATGGAGTGCTCTCTACCTTCCCTCGCTGCGGACAGCAATCTAACTCCTCACACCATCTGACTGCGTACCCTCCAACCCCTGTTAATCCCTATCCTTACATCTTCCCAGAAATGTGTTTAGTCAGGCTATTGACGCCCTGCTTTTAGAAATGCTTCGCCACGACGAAATCTCGGTTTCATATCTCCTCCATCCACTTGCCTGGTCCCGACTCCCTAATCAAGCCGTCGGAGCCTTGCGTCGAGAAGTCCCCCTGAGACCCATTTCTTCTCTCACGCACTGCTGCCTGCCCCTTTTACTTCTCCATTTGGCTTTCCCTAAACCTGGATTGCATGGGGCTCCCATCCTTCTGAGCGACACGACTAGCCGGGCCAGCAGGTCTAGTGTGCAGGCTTCGCATTATTCCTCGACCCAGTGTTTGGCTCACCTTGTGTGCCACCATCTCTACCGACCGTGGGCGGAAGTTCGGCCCCGTCGTAGTCAGTAGCGGATTGCTGGGCACGAACCATGATCATTCCGTGACGAATCCTCAGGTTTCTGCACCCATTCTTATCCTTCATACTGGAAGGCGTTGGGTGGGTGTGGGCCTACGCCAGTTGAGAGAACGCAGTTGTTCAAAATACCTGCTGAAGGACAGCCCAGAAAATAAGGAGTGAAGTGGCAGGAGTGGCGAGGTGCGAAATGACTGGTGAAGCGATGTTTGGCTGAGAATAGACGTGCATGGTTGATGGCTGCCACCCACATAGATACCTACAGCCGGGCAGATATGATAGGGGAGGAGGAGTGAGTTCTCGAAATGAACCTGGTGACCTGCGATGGGCAACCCACCGAGCCAACCAGAAGAGATCTGCAAGAACACTTGATGCCAGGGTGCTGCTCAAACAGAACTCTAGAGTCTAGATTGTGTGACCATCCGACAAGGGCATGAGATGTCCCGACTTCGCTGGATCCATAGGTCCATACCTAGGTAGGTACAGAGGTCCATGGCAGGAACAGATTGGGTGTCTTCGAACGAAATATACGAGTACCTTCTCCGCAAAGACATCAAAACTGAAGACGTCCATTCCCTTGGCAAGATCTCTGTGAGCAAAGAGACTTTCCACTCGGTACATACTCCGTACCCAGTAATTAGCTGGTTCAGGCGGGCATTTACGGCTCGGCTGGTCAAATCTGGGGCTCCAGAGCCAGGGGCCCGTATATTGTCCTACCAATGATTTGCTCCAGTGTGATGTAAACTGCTGCTTTCGACAAACGTCAACAAATGATTCATGCTCGACTAACACAATCTTCGCCTCTGACAATAAACAAATCCTGCTTGAACCAGGGGGAATGCTGAATGACCTGACAGATGTCGAGGGCCCACTTGACGGCCCATGCGCATGTGATCTGGATACAGTCACCACAAAACTGCATGCTTTGATTTTCTCGCCCATCTTGACGTTCCAGTCAGACGCCGAAACGGGCAGTATGACGACCTCCGCAATCTTCGAGAAGCTGGCATTGCACGTGTCAGGCAAACATATGATCCCTGCTTTACCCGCTTTCATCTACGGGACGGCATGGAAAAAGGAAGCAACGGCTGATCTTGTCTATCTGGCCCTTTGCAACGGGTTCACAGCCATTGATACCGCCGCTCAACCCAAGCACTACCGAGAAGACCTGGTCGCGGCGGGTATATCAAGAGCAATCAAAGATGGCAAGATCAAGCGGTCTGAAATTTACATCCAGACCAAGTTCACCAGCGTGGGAGGCCAGGATCCAGAGAATATGCCATATGACCCCAAGAGCCCGCTTCCAGAGCAAGTGAATGCCTCAGTCACCTCGTCCCTCAAGAACTTCAATTTTGAACGTCTAGTCGAGGGAGACGACACGGCGGAACCCTACATTGATACACTGGTTCTGCATTCGCCCATGTCGACCACCAGCGAGACCTTGGAAGTCTGGCAGACACTGGAGCAGTATGTGCCTAACGAGATTCGAAACCTAGGTATTTCCAACTGCAGCTTGCTCACATTAATGGACATCTACGAGCGTGCCCGCATCAAGCCAAGCGTGGTGCAGAATCGCTTTTACCCAAGCACCAAATTTGACATCGGAGTGCGTCAATTCTGTAGGGAGAAGAACATCATCTATCAAAGCTTCTGGACACTGTCGGCCAACCCAAACCTCGTCTGGTCGAATGAGGCAGGTTCTTTGGCAAACCAGCTGGGCATCAGCCCCCAGTCGGCCCTGTACTGTCTGGTGCTGGGACTGGGGAATGTGACCGTCCTCAACGGGACAAAGAGTGCTCAGCATATGCAGGAGGACTGGAGAGCTGTGACGGTGGTGAAGGAGTTTGCGCAGTCTCACCCTGAAGAATGGGACAAAACAATGACAGGTTTCCGAAAACTGATCGGCCAACCGAAGCCCTAGGCATGGCGACAATTTGGTAGACAAGACAGTGATCGTGATGAGCCGAGGGGGCGACATGTTCAGACAGTACTTAGCTGGGTTAGTATGAAGCGAAAGCATCCTCATGATCCGCAAGGCTGGACTGAATGGACGGGAACTGGGCTGTGGAGTAGAGCGAGTCAGCCACTCGGTTGGCTGGCGCAGTAAAAGCGCAAGTGGCCTGGCCAGCCTAGGCAGCGGACGAGGTATGTCATAGGCTCCCGCACCAAGTGGCACGGTGCAAGTGCAAGCACAGTGGCAGAGCGGCAGGCTGCACCACCAGTACGGAGTGCCTAGGAACCTGAGAACCTAAGAAACTCACAGCAGTACTGCGGACTGAACAAACTCCATCAAACCAAACACACCCGCTCCTTTCCCAATCTCATGCTGTTGAAAATGCTCGGACTCAATCACACCACTTGTACATCGTCGATGATATAAGGACATATTACATGTCCTTAGGGCGCCTTCTTGTCGACAAAGCGGACTTTGGTTTCTCCTACTCATCTGGTTGTCCTCATCGCCATCTCGACCAATATCGCCCTTCAGCGCCTCAGCCCGCTTGCCCACCGAACACTGCAGCGGCGCGCATCCAACATTCATACCATTCTTCTGTGACGGTTGATAACTACCTGACACGCGACACCTCTCTGATAGCTGTCCTGACGGTTTTGTCTTGGCCGACCTCCCGGCGACGTCGAGCCTCACCCTACGCCGCCGATTTCAGGCCTCGAACATCAACTTGCCCTGTGAATCCTCCTCCTTGCTCTTACCATCTTCCCTAACGTCCCATACACATGTCCTCGCAGGGCTTCTCCAGAAAACGCTCTGCGCCGGGTGCAGACCCGGTCTCGTACCCTACTCAAATGCAGAATGCCGTGCCCGCATTCAACGACGGTCTTGGGCAGCAACTCTCCAATGACCAGTTCCTTCAGTGGGGTCAGACCGGTCAGCCTGTTGCTGGTTCCTCATACAATGACGCCAGCTTCGGTATGAACGCAAACGCCTATCCCGCGAGCAGTCCCCAAAACGTCCCTCAGCCTTCGAATCAACTGACTCGGAGACCCATCGCTCAACTCGCCTCCCGCTTGCCCCGACCGAGCGAAGACGGAAACGCTTGGATGGAGCATCCCAATGGAGGTGTTCATACCGCAAATCCGGAGTGGGAGGATGACATTGCAGAGTTGGAGGCAAGAGCACAAGTCGCGAAGAGAGAGGCACAACAGAAGAGGAAGCAGATACCTCCCTTTGTTCAGAAGCTTAACAGGTAAAAGAAGAACGGACCCTGATCAGAAGTGGAGGAACGGTGCTAACAAGTGTATAGCTTTCTGGAGGACGGCAGAAACACCGACCTTATCCGTTGGTCAGACGATGGCAACTCATTCATTGTCCTGGATGAGGATGAATTCGCAAAAACGCTGATCCCAGAGTTGTTCAAACATAACAACTACGCTTCATTCGTGCGCCAGCTGAACATGTACGGCTTTCACAAGAAAGTCGGCCTATCCGACAACTCGATGAGAGCCAGTGAACGCAAAAACAAAAGTCCAAGCGAATACTCAAATCCCTACTTCCGCCGAGGTCACCCAGATTTGCTCTGGTTGATTCAAAAACCCAAAAACGTCGGCGGACCTGCTTCGAAACGAAAAGGCAAGACCGACACTGACCAGAACGAGGAAGAGGCGGACGAATATGTTGATGAAACAAATCCGACCGATACTCGAGTACGCGCCCGACCCGGCCAGCTCACGTTAGGAAGTGGCGAGATGGCTCTCACCCAGGAACAATTTAAGAGCGTACAACGGGAGTTGGCAGCCATCCGACATCAACAGACGCAAATTTCTCGCATGATGCAGCAGCTCAAGCGTGAGCATGAACAGCTGTACGGGCAAGCGGCGACATTTCAAGACCAACACAACCGACATGAGAACTCGATCAATGCCATCCTGACCTTCCTCGCCACCGTCTACAACCGCAGCCTCCAAGGCCACGAAAATGTGCAAGGAATTGCCAACCTTTTCCAGAATGCTATGCCTGTCGATACATCGACCCAGGGCAATGTGGTTGACGTTGGCGACTACAACTTCAACGATATCAACCTCGACGGTAGCCCTGCGAAGCCGTTCAAGAAACAGCCTTTACTATTAACCAATGGTCGCGCGAGCACACTGTCCCCCCGCTCTGGCAACAGTCCCTATCCTACACCCAAGCCATCAACTACCCGCAACGGCCAACCGCAATCATTACTCTCGCCGAAACTTGAAGAGGTCTTTGATCCGGGAGTTCATAGCCCCAACAGCCCCGCCGTCTCCTCTGTCAATCAGGCCCGTGCCGACTTGCCCTCCCGTGACATGATGACGGTGATTCAGAACGCTAACGCCCGAAACAACCACGCTGCAACTTCTCCCACCACCCCCGCCCAAGACTTCTCCAATGTCCTCAGTAATCTCGAAGCATCCTCCAGCACAGGACCGCTGTCGACAGCCCAGCGCGCCGACGTTCTCCGCATGATCAACAATTCGACGAACCAGCCCGCCGGCAACGACAATGCGCTTATAAATGCCACTCCACCACCTGGGCCTGCGAACTTCCATCGCCGTCTAGCCAGCACCCAAGCCGACTTGGAACAACTTGCCAAGTTGCAAGCAGAGCAGGATAAATCCGTCCAAACCCTCACGAACTTACTGCAACCACTCTCGCCAACAGGCTCCATCCCTGGAATCAATGACGGCCAGTCACTCCCACCTCCGCCATTAGATATCGACGACTTTCTAAATCACAACGAATACTTTGCCGATTTTCCAAGTGACGGGAACGGAAACTACGATTTTGGCAACACAGGTCTAGGTGGGGATCAACCAGGCACCGCAAACAACCTGAATTTCGCGTACAAGGACGACGACGAGATGTTTGGAAATCTGAACAATGATACCGCGACTGGGTTCGGCGGCTTCGATGGAAACAATGTGGGTGCAGGGGCTGGCGTAGGTGTGGGGACGGATCAATATGGCGGAAGTACGGGAAATATCAAATTCGACAATGCGACCCATTACACGGAGCATGACGGCGGGGGACACGTCGAGAGCGTGCCGAGCAGCGAAGTCACCACTCCGAAGTCGGATAAATCTGCTGCCAGCCGAACGGCGGCTAAGGGGAGAAAATTGAGCGATGTCGAAGAGAATGGGATAGGGAGGAAGAGAGCTAGAGCCTGAATGCCTTCACCATCATACTATACCCACTATGATACATCTAAAGAGCCGAGGCAGGCATGCGTGTTAGGGTTAAACTCACCCTACGAGAACTGGGAACCAAGGACAAGAAGAAAGGAACAGAAAAAAGCAGACCAGACCGTTCACGGCGAACGATCGATCGATCGGTCGGTCGATCATGGATGAAAAGAACTGCCACAGCCCCCTGTCCAGGGTATTGAATACCCACCTGTACGAGTGTTCCCAAGAAATCAGGAAATCGAGGAACCTCCAAAAGGAAACACGGTAAAAGAACCAACGACTGCACCCTACGAGAATAACAATGGGCGGGAACCTGTGTGACGAGACAAATGAAACGAACAGAGCTTGATGCATTACGGCCGGGTGGGTTTATTCTCTTGGGAGATTTGGGGTAACCGGCAAGAGAGAGGAAAGAGACTAGAGAAGAAGAAACGAAGGGGCAAGTGGGAAAAAGGTTGCTGCGGGCATAAAATTGATACCCCCTTCCATTCTTGCAGTTTGGCACAGACGCAGGCACAGTCTTGGAGTGTTGGCTTTCTCATCTCTCTGCGAGAAACAGAGAGGAGAGGGAGAGTAAGTGTGTGAATCTCGTGGGCTGTGTATATTGCGTGCCTAAGTGTCTATATCCAGCCTCTCTCAGTATTCCATCTAGTCCTAGTTTGAAAATGATGTCAAAAAAAACCAGCGAGAGAGAAAGAAATGCTAACCAAAATTAGAAATCTGCAACGCTCTGAAAGAGTATTGTAGTATTTATATTTATACTTTTCCTTCTTAATTATTGCATACTTACCCACCTAGCAGGTCAAATCGAAAATAAGCGGCACCCTTAAAGTCCTTCGGTCACCGTCCCCTGAACTCAAGCTCAGAGCTGACATGGGTTTTCCCAGTGAGAGTTCGATCAAGCTCAATCCAAGGATAAATAGCATTGTTCAGCGGATGCGGAGATTTCTCATCGCTTGGTCCCGGCTCTGACTGCTTTCTGTCAATGGTCCTCCAAGCCAACTTCGAATGGCAGATACACTTTCATCCTGCTGCACTGTTGAGCCGTATCCATCAACGTGACAGGCAGCAATCTTTTCAATGATGAAATTGGTCAGGCTCCATCGCGGTTCCAGCCATGAGCCATCTAGCAACAGCACGCTCACTGTCAGATATGCAGCCACCGTTAATCGCGCTCTTCTCGAGGATGGAACTTTAAACGACGAGGATTGCCTGTTGTTTACGGCCAACAGGTCTTCCAGCATCACCAAACTAAGTCTGTTTCCGGTGTCAGTCCTACTGAGGAAGACACTGTAGCGAATAAGGCCCCGAGTTTCGGGAGCGACATACCCAATAATGGTTCCTTCGGTGAAGCGGCTGGGGTCCAACAGCGCGCTGCAAAGACTTTTGATCCAGGCTATGCTTTGTGGATGCACATGCAAAGTTGTTTAGTCTTGGGCTGCCCGGGAGCGGAGTTTTGAACGTTACCTCTCTCTTTGCAGTCTTCTGACCTTGCCGGAGATTACTCCTACGTGTGGTGGTGGTGGTGGTGGTGGTGGTGGTTGTTGTTGTTGTCAGAGCCAATGGGACTATATCCTCTGGCAGAACTCGCGGGCATCATCAGCGCCGGAGTTGGATGATCCCTCGACTCAGAACATTGCGTTGTTTCGTCTTCATATGACTCGATTTCGATCACACGAACACTTGGTCCGTGGAACACGACGATGATCCGTTGTCGCATGTGCGGATGATCTCTCTCGAAACAAGCACTTTTTAGTCCTCGGAGCGAAATCTCGACCTTGTGTCTGGGAGAACATCGGCACGGCCAATTCGAACGTCCGCTGAGAGTTGTGCGCAAGCTCTTCAGATATCTGTGTTTGGTGATCCGCTTGAGGACTGTTGTTGACATACGCCAGCCTGTCTTCCGCCTCTCTTCGAACAGCCTGTTCCGTTTCGTTGCTTCCCGCAAGAAGTAGTTCAGCTTCCGGATCCTTGTAAAATATTCCTCATATGCCTTCTTATTGAAAGCAATCTTCAGACGCTTGATGTCAAATAGGCGGCTTATTCTGTCCTTGGCCCGAAAGGACTCGGCATCGAACGAGACACTAAGCTTTTTCCGAACCTCTTCAAGAGCTTCTACGAGCTCCTTGGCTATTTCAAGGTATGTCTTGTGTGATCTGCCGAGCCGCCCAGCTAATTTCTTCTGGTACTTCGGGCTCCTTCCATGAAGGTCCAGACGGATCCTGGAGCAGCTCGGCTACGCCTTCGTCGGTCTCAGCGATTCCATCCATAAGTTCGGCTATCGTGTCTTTAAAGGGTCTCTTCCATCTCAATGTTCCGTGCGTATCTAGCCAGCTCTCTTTAGTAGAGAACATGCCTTTCGACGGTGTTCACTGCTTCGACAGTCTCATTCAGCACTTTGACGACGAGAGGGAAGGTGGCAAGGGCAAGACCCGCGGTCTCCATCTCGTTTCTTGATTGCGATGCAGACTCAGCACCAAGCAACACTGCTAGAGCTGCCGTGATGGAAGATGAGAAGGACCTTCCTCAGGCTGCGCCATGAGCGATGCGAGGTTCTTGGACGAGGTGAGGCGTTCGAAAACTCACATCCACCAATCGACTGCTCACCGGTTACGGCAAGCGTGGTTACACGAGACGAACCTTCCCATTCCCAGGTCTCCCGAAGTTGTCACGGCTGTCTCTGCTCTTGTAAGTTCGTGGTCTGAACTCAGACACATCATCTCATGAAAGCAATGCACTGGCCTTGAAATGTTCTATGGTAGAGGCCTTCATCGCAGACGCGAATGCCTTCGTCTGCTTTGCCAAACCTAAGCGATGAACATAATTCTCTGACTTTGGACGGGATCCTTTTCCGATGAAGTGACTAGAACTTCGAACCCCCACGGGATGGCGACGAAAATATTGATATTCACAAAAGTGCGGCAATGTCAGTATGCTTTCGAAAAGTTAGACTCACGGGCTATCCTAGGGAGGGGTGGGGCAACGTTATGGAGTGACGAGGCCGGCAGATTTCGCATTTGGAGCCAGAACATTGGCGCTCACTAGGTTGGATCCTCATCCCTGGATTTTTGGTTGTGCAACGCCTCGGACATCGGGATGCAAATCTTGCGAATTCTCGATGCTCTGCACACGGCCATCCTTGAGGCCTTGTGGGCACTTAAAAACACCGGGCCATCTTCTTCTGCCCCTCAGCAAGTGGCGCCGCTAAAGGCCTCTCAATCCTCTATCCACAATGATGTGAGCGCTGCAACTAGTGAAGAGTTGCTGGAAGTTGAGCTCACAGCGTCAATCCTGGAGGCCAATTCAGGAACCATGTTGGAGGTCCTTTACATTGAGGTCAAAGATTCAATCAATGGTTTCTATCGAATGTCGATCCTGTTGAGCAACACCTCCAGCAGAAGCCAGGTCCTGCGTTGGCCTTCCGCTGACATTGCCGCGTATCGAGATTTCGATATATCGCATGTCAGGAGCAGATTTCCATCGATAGCGCCCTGGCTTTCTGCTCACATCGGCGATGCCATCACATTGCGACGTGGAAACTTGAAATATTGGGAGAGACACCATGGAAAAGAGGCTGCGGGATTTGACAATGACTTGGCCAAAGACGCCACGCGGTCTAAGACAGTGGCAACTACACTCTATCGACAGACAGACTCGGCTGAAAGTATTATGGGTGATTCTGCATCTTCGACGGCGTCATCTGGAACCTCATATGCGGCGTCTCTTCTTGAAGGAACAGCGCACAATTTCTCCGGCCCCTCCGAAAGCTGATGGTGATGGGCCTCTTGAATACCCCCTTTGTCATTTCCTTGTTTCGGCTCGGACTCCACACAAATGGGTGAAGCATTTGTTGACCTGGAACCATATATTTGTTTGTTCGAGAGCTGCCTGTCTCCGAACAAGCTATACTCGTCACGAATTGAATGGTTTCAGCACGTCTCGCAGATCCATCAAGACCAGTTCGTGGCGGTGCCTACCGCAGGAAGCTCAAGTGCCGTACGAATAAGTAACAATTGTCCGGTCTGCCAAGTTACCATCTGGGATCAGAGGGAGATGCGCCAACATTGCGAACGACATCTGGAAGAATTGGCTTGTTTTCGCATTACCACTTAGTCTCTTTGAAAAATCTGATACCGTCCCAGACAATGAGCAGCTGTCTCGTCGGCTCAGGAATCATCAACAGAAGATGATCAGGGAGAGGAAGGCCAAAGAGAAGTGGAAAAGGAGATGGCGAAAGGAGGAGAGTACCTGGCTAGTTCGACTGCGCAAGTTGGTACTTAGAAGTCTGCTGAGAAGCATTCTGCATTGGGTGAGCTCGTCGAGGAAATAAAACGAGCTCCCCTGACCTGTGAATCATGCGGCGAAAAGAATATGAGCTTGTTCCGTTACCATCGTCCCCATGACGGAGCATCATGGACAGTCATCTGCACGACTTCCACTAGTCAAACACGATACCAACGACAAGGCCAACGACAAGGCCAACGACAATGCAATTAATGGTAGTGATGATGATGCCGCCGATGATACAAACAACCATTCCGGTGTTGGAACATTTCCTCATGATCTTATTCACTTGAGCATGTCCTATTGGTCCTGTTGGCGCTGCATTTTCGAACTAGACGTTGACCTAGAACTATAGATTCATCGATAGGCAAGGCTAGATATAAGCACAGGAGCACATACAGGACACAGACAGGACAGAACTCGTTCTCGAACCCGACTTAGTGGGAATGACTGGGGCTTCATCAACCAAGAGCAAATGGAAAGGCGGAAGAAGTTGGCAAGAGCGCGCAGGATAAAACATGGAAAGTAGGCTACGCAAAAGAAAGGGCGATAGTGTCGGTTCGGAACTAGGCATTTTACACTATCATCTCTTTCGTTCGGGCTGATGTACTTACGCATGGGATTGGTCTGTCGGGTATAATCGTGGGCTACTTGTCCTCATTCTCTCTTCTTAACCCTCGGAAAGCTCAACCACAATCCCAAAAGCACAACAATCAGTGCCAGGATAATTGGTTGCAACACCTTGACACCTTTGCTCGCAGCGATAGCACCGATTGCGAAAGGAAATACCGTCCCACCAGTTCCTCCCAATGCCATTGCGAAGCCAATGCTGCTCACATGAATATGCTTCGGCAACAACTTTGCAGCCATCATCACACAACCAGGAAACATAGGGCCAAGGAAGAATCCAAGGAACGCAACAGCCACGGCGGACACGATGAACTTTGGAACAAGCCAGAAAATCAGCTGCAAGGCGAGACAGAGGGCGAGGTAGATGGAGATGCAGAGCCGTTCTCCAAAACGCTCAGTAACGAAACCCAGGGCAGCGCGACCGAGCGCCATGCCTGCCCAAAAACCAGTTCCCGAATATCCTGATGCCGATGGTGAGGCGGAGCGGACACGGAGCATAAATGTTACGATCCAGCCCCCGAGGCCGACTTTCTCGCAAGATGGATGTCAGTGACTCCAAACTTTGCAGCACATACCTAGGCGCTGGAAACCTAGATTGAAGAGGAACGGATCGACGATGAAAGGGGAGCAGACGTTACCTTCGATGCCCATATATGTGAAAAAGAATGCAGAGCAGATCCAGGTGATTTTGGACTTCAGTGCTTCTTTCGTGCGGCCGCCTGTGGCCTCAGTGTCCCGTGGATGTTCGACCCGATACAGTTCGCCCGTCTTATGCCAGAACATCAGGCTGAGACCAATGAACTCCAGGACCGAAGCGCCGGTCTGTCGATGCAAGGCACAGCACGTTAGCATGAACATTTCTCGCCCAATCTCAATCACCCTTCCTTCTAAGGAGTGCGCTTCGTCGTCCGCCAGTTTGTCTAACTCACCATGAAGTAATAAAACGTGTACCAGGGCAGTTTCGCATGAACAACCATGGACGTCGCAATTAGAGGCGCAAACAGAGCTCCTAGAGCGTGGTGAGCACCCATCTAAGATAAAATTCACGATTCCAGAAGGGGAAAACATGATACATATGTACTGTCTGAAATGGTAAAAGATGAAACTGTGTATTACCTAGAGAGTAGCAGCTGTGGAGGCCTCGACTAAGTGTTAGCCAGTCAAAGTCTCGCGCGAGATGGAGGTTTGCACTTACAGCCCTGCACAGCGTTGGCTTTGTCCATGGCTCCAATCCACGCACAGAAACAAGCGTCGGTGAGTCCATTGCCGAATCCAGAGACGGTGTTGATGACGACCAGTACGGGGAAAGGAGGGTGAGCGGACAGCACTGCGTAGGTTGCGATATGGCACAAAGGCGCGAGGATGGCGATGCCTCTCTGGCCGAGCTTCGTGTGTATGGTGGCATTGGTAAAGGCGGCAAGGGAGTAGCCTGCAAAGGGAGTGAGGAAGATCAGGGAAACAGTGGTGTAGTTCAGGTGGTAGTACGTCTCGAGCTGTATGAATGTGAGCAACTGTTCGGGGACAGCGAAAAGGCACAAAACCACGCACGTAGGGTATAAGGGCCTGTCATGAACACTTGTTAGCATATCCCTATCAACGAAAGGGGGAGCCAGAAACTTCATACGCCCACGGCACCGTCATTGAGACCCGTGACAATAAATGAGAAGAATGCAAATCCTAGACGTCCAATATTCCCTCTGGGCATATTCCAGCGCTGGATGACCGGCTGAGCCGTCGCCGGAGGTGAAACCTCGTTCCGAACGTTGTCCTCTTCGTCTGACGAAGCATGATCGCCTGCTGTTGTTGGCAAGGAGTCTTTGCCACCCTGGACGACTCGGCGCGTGAGTTCTCGCAGCGACTTCGTCCGTGTTTTCAGACTCAGTTCGAATGTCTCCGCCGGGCGTTGTGGCGGACGGCATTCCCGCGCAGCGGGCGAGATGGTCATTGTTTGTGATGTAGTCATCGTTGCTGTGGTCGCCTACATAAAGCAGACAGGTGGAAGTCTATGAACGGGTACGACGATAAATAAATATGAGCGGGAAGGGAAAGAAAACCCCAAGTTGGCGACGGCAGTGAAGATCGAAACTTGCAGGTCGTTTGGTAAGGTCCAAAGCGCAACGTGGTCAAATCCAGATGCAGCTCGCCATGGAACTGTCTTCGAATAGGGAACGGAGCCGGGGGCATCCAGCATGAAAATGTATCAAAATGCGGTATGAGACTGACCGCTGTAGGTTACCAACCAAGCGCAGCGGACGAAGCGAGGAGCTATGTCTGGAAGGCTCGCCGAAGTCCGAATGTCGCCATCGCTATTGAAGATCGATAGCGGAAAAGGACGGTCTGGTCATGTTTGCCGACAAGCTTAGATTCAAGAATAGTCTTGTCACAGAATACGTACCTCGAAGCGGTCGATATATCGAATATAATTGACGGTATAGGATGAATGACACAGGGCCATCTTCTTCAGGGTAAACAGACTCGTCATTACCAATGAAGGCCACCTCCGTTCTAACAGTGGAGGAGTTTTTGAGTGTACCGCTTATTTTTCAATTCGGCTCGCCGAACAATTCATATGGGTGATTGTTATTGTTGACGCTGGTTTTGCTCTTGAACTTCTTGAAGTCGTATTTGCATTGATGAAATGGGCCTTACAAACCTCCCACGATCAACCATTTCCACAGAATCACGTCTATTCAACCTGTTGGAATGAGAACGACAGAGTCCAGACTGGGTAGGGTGCGGGCTTGATCATTTACTTGGCCCCCATTATCCCAGTCCCTCAGGGACTCAGGGCGCCTTACTGCCTCATGAAGCCCCCTGTGCCAATCATCCACGGCGTCCCTGAAACCTCAGACACAATGAGGCGCAGTTCCACCCTAAGAATAAGATATATATTATGAATGCCTTTCACAGCCTGGTTCAATACCTGCTTTGTTGCACATCTGAACTCTTCATCTCTTCTCTGAATGCTTTGTATATAAATGACATGGACACCGTTATTGCGAGCTTCAATGCCGGCCAGGGCCTGGGGAGCCTAATTCAATATGCCTGCGTCGGCGCAAATGTCATGTTTCTTTCCATTGCTCTCATCACTTCACGTCCTTTCTGATCGGCCCTTTTTACCACTTCGATTCGCAGCCCATTTGGATGTTTGCGAGCTTTTGTTCCTTTGCAGTGGTGAGTGATTTTCGCCATGGCCGACCGCGATCATTGCCCGGGGTTCAACATAGGACGCGGCAAAGATTAGTACAGCGGATTCTGACCCTCCTCATCAGGCTTGCTTCAATATCACTATTGTTGGAACCATATCCTCCAGGTTTCGCACCATTGCAGACAGCGTCCCCGAACCGGGCTACGAAGACAAACGAATTCTTAACCTGAAAACTGCATTCTATCTCAGCACAATCCTCGGCGGCATATTTGCTATCGCTACAGCCTTCCTGGCCTTCCTTTGGGGTCGAGCAGCATTTGAGAGTATACCTTTTATTGTGCCATGCATTCTTGGTGTTCTTGCTGTGTCTGTTTGCACCGAATCCTGTACGCTGCGTCGCGAAGGAGCTAACGCAATGATCCTTGTAGACTAATTGATGTGGCCGCGATCTATGACAACTTCAAGCGATTCAGAGAGGAAACCCGACAGTTGTTGAGCTGGGACGATTGATGAAAGAGATTAGCTTGGAAGGGGGCATCTTAGAATAAGAATCTTGTTTAGAGTTTAAGGATAGCTGGTCAGTGTCACGATTGGTGTATTGGTCATTGGATTCCATGGTATACGTCGTGATGGTTTTTCCTGTAAGATTGTGGGGGAAAGAACATACACAAACCGCTGCACCCGTGCTCAAGACATGCTCCATAGGCGTCACCTACACCAGTTGGTTGGCCTAGGGGCCGTAGCTCCTCACCAGTCTAGTGGCCCTAAACCCCCTCAGCGGCGCGTGCCTAAGTACAGATAGTCTAATAGGCTCACTGGAGAATTGAGAATAGCAACATTGACAGAGTCTCCGATCTCCCCCCCTACGGCTGGCCAACACCGTACTGTGTACATCTTGATATGTATCGGAGCACCGTCAACCCCATCTTTCAGCCTTACGTCCCAAGCTGCACATGAGGCTGCAGCCTAGCTTGCGAGTTAACCGCCTCACCACATCATCTGAAACCACCGGCGCCGGCCCCAATGCGACGAGGCTGTGCGGTGGCGGTATGTACTAGCCTCTCGAGATAACCTTTCAACACAACGGCTGAACTTCCTGCTGCCGAAAATAAATATTTCCAGAATAAAGCCAGCTTTATTAACTCTCTTGGGTCTCTGACTTGTACTACAAGCGCCAACTTGCCCACCTTCAGCCTGAGGCCATCAAAGAGATGCTGAGGTGGTGGTGGAATGGATCCAAAAACTTGCAGCCAAATGGCCAGAGTCAACCTCGGTGCTCTAATTTCACAGAAATCGAGCGAGCAGTACGCGAAGCACGAAGTAGAGGCAGAAGGGATACTGACTTCATGAAACTTCATGCCAGCTACAGCGACCTGGAGCATTGTGCGCACAACAAGTGTAGGGGCTGCAGAGTTGTTCGTCAAGCTTTACTTCTATCACAAATCACTCGCGAGGAGGTTGAGAGGCTCGAGAAAAGAGATGGCCCTGTCTACGTCAGATTGTTGGGAGGAGATTCCTCAGCAGAGAGCATATCTCATCAGCAGCCCACATTACAAGTCCGTCTCGGAGTATCGCATGAAAGTGCCATATTGGTAAATATTGCGCTAACGGCCAATATTAACCCTTCAATGGGGATCCGCTGTTCCTCAAATCAAATCTTGGCTGCAAGACTGTCGTCAAGAACACGAGTGCAGCAACCTTACACGGACCGACGAGCATCCCAGACGGCTTATTGAGATTATCTCAGACACAACGTTGAGATTGGTTGATACCTCAGAGCTGCCAGAGGATGATAAGTGTGATTACGTAGCCTTGAGCTATTGCTGGGGCGAGGGGCATTCAAAGGGTAGGACAACGCCGTGCAATCGAGACAAGCGGAAGGTCTCATTCGAGAAGGCCGCGCTGCCGAAAACTATACGAGAAGCTTTGAACTTGGTCGAGGCGATCGGGTATAAGTACTTATGGGTTGATTAAGTCTGCATTGCTCAAAAAATCCAGGGAAATCAAAGCAGCGATCGTCAAGGAGATGGCGCCGATGATTGTGAAGGCAATGACTGCCAAGCTTGCAGTAACGATGGCGGCGAAGATTGGGACGCAGAGGCTTCCAGGATGCATGTTATCTACGGTAACGCCGTCTTTACTCTCTGCGCCTGTTCCAGCACAAGTTCAAGGGATCGCTTACTGTGGGATCGGAAGGCTTGGGCGTACCGCGTTGTGCCTTTTTACTTCGAAGGTCAGTGGCTCGTCAACTATGACATGAGTCTCAACGAGGTTAGAGCAACCGCACCGCTGTCGAAACGGGCGTGGACTCTGCAAGAGGAACGACTCTCTCCTAGGTTGGTGTACTACTGCGGTCAGAGAGTCTACTGGTCTTGCCTTGAGAAACAGCACACAGAAACTGCCGCTCGCAGTGCAGCAAAGCACAATCTCGGCAGCAGGCCTTTTGAACGTGAAGACGGATTCAAGAAGATGAGCGAGGCTCAGATATTCATTAACTATAGCTTTGCTGTGGAGAGGGTTCGCTTACACCAGGATTGGAAGGATCTAGTGGATGCTTATTGTCCGCGAGCCTGGACGAAACCGACTGACAGACTTCCGGCGATATCTGGCTTGGCCGCACTATATCTTTCGACTTATATCACCCAAGACAACAAAATTCTGCAACAGGAATATCTAGCAGGGCTTTGGCGCGACACCTTTGCAGAAGACCTGGCGTGGTCAGTCCGGACAGGTGCAGATCCGTGCAACGCTCTGGCTGAAATCGCCCCGAGCTGGTCTTGGGCATCCCTCCCTGCCATGACTCACGTCAGCATGAAGGAAGACTTCAAACAAAGTAACGACTTTGAATTGCTTGAAGCTTCAGAGGAGAGGAGTAATTCCAGCGAGCTTGGGAATGAGGCCAACGTCCTTCTCGCATGACAGGAGGGAGCAAAGAAGAAACTTGTTCTAGTGAGAGGTCGGTTGCGACAGGTCATGAACTGCGATTCGGAAAACGTCGACTGGTCCGAGATCACAACAGGGCGTGGCGGTAAGAACAAGTACGACCTTTCAAAGAACATTGCTCGTCATGTTCACGCAAGAAACAAATACAATGGCCAGATCGTCATATATGAGCCGAACAAGCAACCTATCGAAGGGAAATTGGACTATCTCCTTCCCTTGAACGCCAACATCAATAGCGACAGCCGCGAAATTCACGTTGCAGCTGGCATGGAGTGGGATTTGTATGGCTTGCAAATAGGCCAGAAGACGATGCTGTTAGTCCAGTTCAGCAGGCGGCGGGAACCTGGAACGGACAGTAACACTAGAAGTGATACCTGGGTGACTGTTTTCCGGCGGGTAGGGATCTGTCGAAATGTGCGAGAGGCCTTCTTTGAAGGAGCTGAGTTGGTCGACCTTGAGCTCGAGTGAGACACCAGAATACTGAGCCATGAACTTGACATGGTCGCACCATCCTATCGACTTCGAAAGGAGTGCCGACAGTCTATTCTCAGCTTGTATCCCCTTTCGACCCAGGCAACTTCGAAGTCGACAGTTAAGCCCTCGGATTTGTTGTCCCTGTAACGTCTTTAATAGCTGCTTCAGTTTGTTTCCAGAGGGGTGGCAACTGACAGTGTATGCTGTCTCTTGTGAATCTCCCGAATCCCCCGCAATGGTTGTCACGGCGCAGATCATGTTCCAATAGCGGACAAAGCGTTGACTCCACGCAAGAACCGATGTAACCGCTGACAGGAAATTCACTGCTTCTCCCCCGTATCGCTTGCTTCACTGATGGTCAGTCACTATCCGAACCCATGACGAGGGCGATTCTTCGGCAGGAGAAGGGCCTCAACAAGGTGAGTGGAGTGTGAGGTGAAAGTAAGTCATCACCACAAGTGCAAAAGCCGCATGAGTTCCAATTGCAGGCGAAGAGTGCGAGCATCTCTCTATCAATACCCTGTCTCATTGCACGCTACGATGCTCTTCCTGGTGTCTTTGAACATCTGTCTCATTCTCCTTGCCGCTGTTTCAGTCGCTCAGGAAGTCAACTACACTTGCCCGGACCCAGCTGTCTACTTCGCGGAGTATCATGGACCATTCTCAGCTGGCAGGTTCAATCTCTCCTACCAAAGACCGCCAGAGCATTGCCGAACGTTCAACTCGTCCGATGCCGAAGACACTATCTCTCATGTGAGAGGGCAGATCTCTGATCCTGACCTGTCCCGGCTCTTTGAAAATGCCTTTCCCAACACTCTCGATGCCGCTATCCGCTGACACGGTGTTGCGGGTAACCATTCAGACGAGGAACTGACGTTCGTCATCACGGGCGACATCAATGCCATGTGGTTAAAAGACTCTCCCAATCAGCTGCAGTCATATCTCTCTTTGCTAAAAGCGAACGCATCAAACAACTCAATTGCGTCCCTCTACCGAGGAGTGATCAACTTGCAGTCTCGCTACATCAACACTTCGCCGCACTGGGCTTCCAGCCTTCCTCGGAGTCCGCATCGCGCCAGCGGTCAACAGCTTCGCTGTTACCGATGTTGTGTTTCCGCCCGTCACCAACACGACGATGTTCGAGTGCAAATACGAGGTCGACAGCCTTGCCGCGTTCCTGGAGGTCTCCTACTACTACAATGGCACTTCCGATCTGGGCTTTTTCGATCACTTTCAGTGGGTTGACACGGTTCAGACAATCATGAATACAGTTCTCGACCTCACAATCGGCACATATGATTCTGGCGGCCGTGTACTCGATCAACCCTACACATGGAACCGCACCGCAAACTCGGCCACCGAGACCGTCTCGAACCTGTACCGCGGGCATCCGGTCATGGGCGGCACGGGATTGATTCGAAGCTTCTTTCGCCCTTCGGACGACTCGTGCGTCTACCAGCTATTCATACCTGCGAACATGATGTTCTCGCACTGCCTTGGCCTCTGTGCAGATATCATGCTGAATCAGCAGAACGCACTTGCGCCGACCATGGCTTCCAGCATGCGGAACCTGTCATCCTCCATCCACGCCGCGATCAGCGCGTATGGAATCTACCAAATGGACGATGACCAGATCTACGCGTACGAGCTTGACGGCTACGGCAGCTCCAACATCATGGACGACGCAAACATCCCCTCGCTGCTCTCGGCGCCGATGTTCGGCTACGACGCCAACGACCCAGTCTACCAAGCGACGCGGCGACTGCTCCTCTCGCCCGCAAACCCGTACTACATGCGCGGCCCGTCATTAACGCGACCGGTGGGCCGCACGTGTCCTTCGGGCACGCCTGGCCCACGGCGTCCATCGTCCGCGTCCTGACCAACAGCGACGACGACGAGATCCGCGCCGAGCTGCGCCATCTGGTCAGCAGCACAGACGGTTTGAGCCTCATCCATGAGAGCGTCAATGCCGGAATACGAGTGACTGGACGCGGCCGTGTTTCTCCTGGGCAAACGGCCTGTTTGGACAGATGGTACTAGACCTCGTGACGAGGAAGCCGTACCTCTTGAGAGAGTCTTATCAATGAGAATGAGTCTTGAGCCTCAACCCTGGATGAGGAGGTGGGTAGCCAAGGTGGAACGATTGAAACTATGTCAATTTCAGGATGACCTGGGGTATTCAGCTCTGCTGGCGAAATCCCTGAGTTGTGCTGTTGTATTGCGTTGGACTTCCTTCGCCTGATATGAAGGCCCATGCTCTGTCATCCTATTCTTGATTGGGGGCTGCTCGGATATCCCGAGTAGGTTGTCTTTTCCATTTCAGTCAGAAGGTCACGACATGCTGGGGACTGATCCGTCGCCTCAACACCCCACCACGCCAAGCGTTTCACCCCCATGTGGAGTGCCCTGTAATTAGAACCGCTTAACATTCCGAAATAGGTTAGCCGAGAATCAAGCTGCTGACAGATTGTTGGCCTAACTAGACTAGGTTAGCTTAGGAAGGTAGGTCTTGGCCCTACCACAACCTGTCACCCATATAAACGCTCGATGTCACCCCAGATAGATGCTCTCAATCAATCAATCAACCTATTCCAGACCCCCACATGGGATCAACAGAGGCGGCAAGACCTACATTCAAGTTCAGCTCCAGCTCGGGCCTGGTATGTGGCTTCAATACGCGTCCTACCCAGCCATCTTTACACCCTCAAGCGGCTTCCCTAGCACGTCGGATTGAATGGAGAGAGCCACGAACCGAGACCACCAACGTGCTTGAGCTGCGGTACCCCCAAACATCCAGAACCCTGGGGCTATCTGGGGTCAGCACGGCTCGTCGAGAACTCTGTGAGATGCAAACTTACCTGCTGGCTTCATGACGTTCCGAACTTCCCCCTCTTCATCAAGTCCCCAGAATTCACTTAGTTTCGACGCAAAGTCCTTTCCAACAATCTCTGCAACCTGATTACGGTAATCGTGGTCTTGCCCGGTGGCAATCACCACTACATCTCCCTGGATCTCGCTTCCGTCTTCGAATTTTAGGCCCGTGGAAGTGAAGGTGGTAATGGGCACACCGGATTTGACCTTGATATCGCCCCTCACAATGTGAGACGAAGCGCCAATGTCAATATAATACCCTCCGTAGCGCGACAAGATGTTGTCCATTAGGGGTGTCTTTCGGTCAACCCGGAATCCAGCCCGCTCTAGGTCGTCAAAACGCCCTTGCTCCTGGCTTGCGGCAGCCTCGTGGATCACCTTCAAAATGTCACGTAGAATCTTATTGGGCCGGCAGGCGACCAAGGCGTCGGCATCTGCGGTTGGGATGTTATTATTGTAGAGGCCTCCGCACTTGTTAGCCGGCAAATCCTTAACGATTGCATGGCGTGGAGGTGCTTACCCTGTTGCCCTTTCACGATCCACTCAATTGGGTAGATCGCGGTTTTGTTGCGCTGGATCATGGTGACGGACCGCAGACCTGCTCGATACATGTCTTCAGCAATATCATGCGCTGTGGTGCCTGATCCAATGACAATGCCGTCCTTGGTTGCCCAATCCCGGCTATGCTTGTACGCCCCTGAATGCAAGAGCGTTCCCTGATACTGGTCGGTTCCGGGATACTTCGGGTCGTTGTCGACACTGACACCTGCGCCAGTGGCGAGGACGAGGTGTCGACAGACGAGCCTTCGTTTTTCGTTCTCGTTGACCGTGACATCCAACGTCCAGAGTCTGCTCTCTGGAACCCATGTTGCTCCAGTGGTGTCCACGCTCGTCCATATATTGATGTTGTACTTTCTAACATAGTTCTCAAAACCTTCTGCAACGATCTTGCCAGGAAGCAATAATGGGTCGTTGGGTTTCCATGTGCGCTCGAAGGGAAGATTGTTGTACTCACGCACGGTATGCTGTCTCACCGACTCGTATCGTTGAGTCCAATTCTTTCCCACAGCAGGCCGCTTCTCTAGAAGCACATAGTCAACCCCAAGGGCGGCAAGCCTGCCGGCAACGGCGAGGCCGCATTGACCTGCCCCGATCACCACCACATCAAAACGATCTTCACCATCTGATCTCTTCTGGTGGTCATTGACGCCGTTGACTGTGCCGTTGCCCAGCGCGCCATTCACCGCCCGAGGAATGTCAGGGTGTCCCTGGTCAGCAAAGTTCTCCAGAATTGTCACGAGCATCCAGATTTTCCATTTTCCGTCTTCATCTGGGGTTAATGAGGCAGTACCTGTACAGTTGCCGACCAGTCCGCTTTCTTGCTTCGTGATGAAAGTGAATGGGATATCGACCCATGAACTCGTCGGAACGGGTTTGGTGATACGACCAGCCTTCGTCTTCATATCCGTAACATGCTGGGACTTGACTTTCCCGTTCCACACCTCGGCAATCTTTTCAGAACTGTAGAATGTTCGAATTTGACCTGTGAGCGCCAGCCAGTCTCTCCACAATGCTGAGTTTTGCAAACCACTTGCACCCAAATTGTCCAGTGTTTTTTGAGCCGACTTTTGGATTATTTCTACATCGACATCCTCGGGGACTAGTTGCGACGGCAAACTGCCCGGCAGTTTGTCAAGGCCAAGACCTGGTGCCATCGTGAAGAAATAACAATGCCTTCACTGCCGCTTACTTTGTCTTTTCAAGTGAGAGATGAGAGGGAACACTCGGGTTGTATTTGAGGGCATGTATCGAAACTTCGCTGAAGAAGAACCAACTTCAATGCCATTGTCGGAATTAACTTTCGACCATGTACCAATTTATATGCCGGGCATGTAAGTTCGGATGGCGAATAGTCAACTGTGAATCGTCGATTAGCCGTCAGGTTCAATGTGGGGAAGGCCCGTTGAGCCATATCGCCCAGAGTTGAGCCGAGGCGGATCGTAGAGAGAGAGTCAGCAATCCCTGTAAGACTTCCTCTGGCAGCTGACCCAAGCCGACATTGGACAAATATCAGACGAGATTGTCGGCACATACATTGGTCCCGAGCTCCGAAGTCTGGTATCATACTAATGTCCACTGAGGTTCACGATGGATTTGATATTGCTGCAATTGAAAGGGACATGTTTGCGAAAGCAAGACTTTGACATTGTAGATGAGCGCCAATATGATCTAGTTAATGATGCAAACAGTACACAGCGGAAAGCCTGCAAGCCTGATGTTTGATATGTGAGTACAAGGGTAGTGTCCATGGCCTCGGTGTACTGTAGTTATCTATCCCTTTACTTTCGATGTTTGTATGTTATTGGCAAACAAGAACATATACTATGATGACTGAGTCTTCGTGGCGTTGTTCTTTCGAAAGAGAAGCTCCTGTCAGCCCGTTTTTGCTAACACTCGGGATATCGGTGAAGAGGACCGGTGCTGGAAAGGATGCCATTTTTCCAGACAACCGGAAAGCGAGCAAAGAGGGACGGAGAGGCAGGCGGTTGAACCAGGGAACCAACTCCTTTTTATCACAGCTTCACACCCTCAGCCTTGGCCCTTTTCAGAATCCACAGTAGAGGGGGTCGCTCGAGACTCAGGGCGACACTCCCAGTGGACCATATGCGGGAAAAGGCTATACGGCTCGCAGGCTACTGATTCCTATAGGTGTACGACGCACGTAGCGATGTCGTGAAAGTGGTAACGTGGACTTCACTTGGATTCAGGCCATTAAGGTAGGCAATGAAACCAGGCACAAGTGGTACCATGAAAACTAATATATCCGGGGCAAAAGAATGAAATGACCTAACACCAGTGGACTTGGTTTTCAGCGACACTCATCTCCAGGTCATTTTGTGAGTTTACGAATGCTGTCACCATTCTTTGTCATTGCAGTGTATCTCGTTTGCCAAAGCTCTCCCGGCTCGGACGAAAAACTTAGAGAATGGACCAGGCTCCAGAGATTAGTATACACGAGCCCGACTTGATCCATATATGCTGCTGTACGGCAAGTGATGAAACCGACACTGTTCCCTCGGTCATGAAGTTCGTCCTAAAATACATTCCTTTTTCAATTCCTCTGTCATGAAGAGCTTTTGAAGCATTTCGATTTTGGTCATGATTGGAGTCAGAAGAGTGGCGACACTGTGTGGCGCACGCAGAATAGTGCTCGAAATCAGAACTAGTGACCACCGCGGCCTGGCCGTTTCGTCGGCCTCGTTAACGATCTTCCGCTTGTAGTCGACTTGGTTGGCACTGTCTCCTGACCGGTATTCTGTGATTGCTAGCTGCTGGTGGATGAAGAAGGCGTCGGGGTAGTACTTGACGCTGGCGTAGAACTTGTCGTGGCGCCGCTACCACTTCCGCTCTGCTTCTGGACGGATGCTTGAACAACCTGCCCAGCTGCGTTGAAAACGATATCCACCAAGGCATTGAGCGGAGCATATGAATAAGTCTTCTCAACAAGGCCACCAGATAGTGTCTGACTGACTCCCGTGTCGGTCATGTTCGTTAGGTAATTTCCAACGATGGTGCTCACTCCGTTGACTTCCTGGACGATATTTCCTAGATTGTCGATCAAGAATGATAGCGTTGTTCCTCCCTGTGTGATGGAACCGAGGAGACCGTCAACAGCCCCCACGATGGGCTCAAGCAATGAGGTAACATTGTTGATGGCAGAGATCAAGAGAGGGTTGAGGTCCAATGACTCGAAAACTCGGTTCACTATGTCGACTAGGTGGCCCAGACGGACGATCAATTCAAGCTCTGCATCGACATCTGAAATGGTGAGGTTGACTTCTTGAATGGAGAGGGCGACGCCAGCATTCAGAGTGACAAGGGACGCGACTTGGGCATTCAAATTGATGTCTGCCCGCAGGTCGTCGACATCAAGCTCAATGCGACCAACGGAGAGAGTTGGTACGTTCAGATAGACATCAGGGGGGTTAGAGGAAGAAAATGCTGGATTCGGCGTCAGTGTCGCCGAATTTGATAGTGTGGTGCTGACACTCCCGCCGGATTTCGATGAGGTGGTCGTCTGCGCCAGAATCTGTGGATGCAGCAGGAAGAAGCAGAAGAGCGATAGAAGCTGGAACATTGAGAGCGACATCGTGTTCCCGCCCGGCCATGGAGGAGAAAGAGGCAGGAATCGGCGCACATCGCGCAATCTATATCATCAGCACCAACCTCCATCCTCCTCATAGAGAATCCCACACATTGGCCATGCCAATTTCTCGAGAAAGCATCGCTAAACCGCGAATTTCCCATGTCCAGGAAAATTGTTCGCTCCCTTGTGGGCCGCGATGGTGCTGTTGGGCTTCACGCTGGACGAAATTTGTGTAGAAGATCTGCGCAGATCCCTGCAGAGCCTCTGCCATCAAACCGGTTTTCTGCATGGCTTCTCATGTCTCCCCAGGTTTCAACGGCCCTTTGCGGTATAGGGCTGATCTGCCGAGATTGCAAGCACGGGAACGTCCTGGGTTCCCCTGGACTAGCCCGTGCGAAAAACCGGACTTTCCCCATGTCGTGCGAATCGACTACTCGAAACACCAAATGGGATGCCGAAAGTGACCCCTCGAGAATTCAAAAACTGGTGAGTCTAGAAATTGAAGCCTTCAAAGCGACAAAATAGGAGGGGTGTTGCGACCATGGTTGTTCGATATTCGTAGAATCCCTACAATCTCTGTCAGCATTTGGATGAGAGCGTCTTCTCTCTGTCCTTGATGACGCTCTTTGTGACGGTTCCATTCCTCAGGCTGTGATGATGTCCATGCTTTTGTGCTCGCTGCTTCTCGCACTCATTCGATTCACATCCTCCCAGACGCTCTCGTCCAGCGATGGCTATACAGGCTACTCACTTAGTGTAACGGGCAACGACACGGACTCAGCAGTCTACGAGACCAACGAGACCGACACCTCGAACGGCGCTGTGTCCAATGCCAGCACTCCGCCCGATGTCTTCCTCAATGCGAGTGTCTCGGTCGGCGAAATCGACATCACGTTGAAGAACTTGACGGCCAAAATTAATATCGACGCCCAAGTGCTGTCTCTGCTGCAATTCAATGCTGGTGTCGATCTGAGCATCAATGCTGTGCAGTTAACGATCCAGAACGTGTCGGCGAGAGTTGAACTCGAGGCGCGACTGGAGAACCTGGTGCTGATGATCAACGATACACTCAACTCCATTGATCTGAACCCTGTGATTGCCACACTGGGGTGCGATGTCGGCTCGCTGCTCAACAATACCCTCGGCGGCAGCGGCACGAGCAGCAGCAGTCCCTCCACATCAACGAGCGACCTGTCAGCTCGCTCGGTGCTCCTCGACCAAGGCATCCTCTATTCGGTCAACGACTACAGCGGCAACACGCACACAAATCGGATCCTCGACCAAGCTGGCAATATCGTTGACCAGAAATTGCACAACAATGGCTCCGCCTTCTCGTCCCAGGTGGTCGGCTCATACTGGCACGACATGACATTCACAGGACACGAGCGGGCCGTCCTGTTCAATGGTCAGAGTGCAAGGGAGTTGGAATACTCGTACGCGCCATTCAACGGATTCAGTTCGATCGCTGCTATCTATCAGGATGCGGAAGGCAATGTGCTGGGGTCGAGGGTGTTGAGTGAGATTGAAGGCGGAGGATCAAGTACGATCGTGGATGACTGATTTGGATCTACAACTTTCCCTAGTCTCTCCACGTAGCATGAAATGAAAGAAGGATATTCATTCCACAAGACTATTGGATTCGTGCCTCTTATGTTATCCACTGCGACGGGGCAGATCGGTGGCAGAGTCTTGCTCGTGCCAGGACCCGCACTGCCACCATACTTTATGCTCAACATCCCCGTAACAAATTAACCGAACTGGCTAGACTTCCGCATCATACCTTCCCCCGCTGATCTCAATCATTACAAATGAATCCACCCCCTGCGCCCTCCAATTCTTTGTACATCACGTTTTCTTCGATATGGACGCATCTTTGAATCATGACGGAGGCCCCTGCCACGGCACCCTCGTCCAGTCTTCAAAAATCACATCGGTCCCTATCTTCATGTGGGTCGAAATCCTCATCGAAGTAATCGCGGCGAGGCCTCTAATTCGACTGATCCAAAGTCCTATTCTGCTCTTCGTTCCACAGAGCCAACGCCCTATCAGAGCTGGGGGGGCTGCTAATCTGGGCTCTGAGACGCCGAGGCACGCTTCTTTGATTCTTCATTCACAAGGTCTCGCCATCGAAAAGTTTACCTTGCCCAGAACCTGCTGCGCAACTCATCGAGGTACTGCGTATCACCAACAATAAGCAATAATATCCTCGGGAATCTGGCGCTGGTTGAAACTTTCATACGAACTGCCATGGTCAGCTTTGAAAAGTCGCTCTCCTTCCACCTTCGTCTGCCTCCGGCTCGCTGGGTGACATCCATAGACCACACAAGTATTCTCCAGACATTTAGCTAGACCACTCAAAAACATTCTAGATGCCGTAGTACCTCTCGTGGCACTCTCCATATGCTGAACATCCTCCAGTCTCAGCAAGGCCACGCCGAAATAAGTAAACAAGATATCTGAATTATCGAGATCATGAAAGAAGTCTTTCGGGATCTTCTCGTCCTGATGGACATCTTTTAGAGTCTTCTATTGGACACCTGATGCATTGAATGCCTGTACCCCCAAGAATATACACACCGACTGGATAGACCTTTCTGGCTGGGCTAACCAAATCCATCAGTAGAGTGAGTATGGAGATGGAGGCCTTGCAGCAGAAGTCGACGCTTTCAAGATCGATGTACATAGTCGGTTGGTTCGGCTAGTTGTGCTGGATTCACAGAAGGTGAGCCAGCCAACTCGACCACTCATCTGCTCCGTAGTATTAATAATCGTTCTCTGTCGCGCTCTGCATACTAAGAGAAGTACCACAAGGAGCAATGGCCGAGAGATACGTAGAATCGGCGCTGGGTTATGCTCTAGCCTTTTCCCAAGTAGTTAGACACCTCAGGCACAGACAGAGCAAAACGAACCTCTGTTACTGCTAAAGAAGACAAAAAGAACGAGCAAGATCTTTATTGCTGGTCGCTTCAGAAATACCTCGAGATATGCCAAGACATTGAGGTATGCTAACAATGCTAGTGTCATAGGCTAGCAGCGCACTAATCCTATCCCGGTTACAGATGACGTTAGACACGATGTCAAAATCTTTCTCCAAGTGGGTATTCTTGTTAGTACGGCTTAAACCAACCAGCGGCAGCTTTGCGATCAGGGGTCCTCGGTTCACAACGACAATGAAGCAAAGCTTGGAGCAAATGTGAAGCAATGTCATTATCGAATGACTACATATAGGGCTGACAGCACTTGTATCAGCCTCCTACATCCATATGCCGACTCAGATCTGGGATTTTCGAGATAGACCAGCAACTATGTCGATTCTCAACGTGGAGTGGTCAGAGTAGCCGATGATGATAAGACGGAATCAACGACTTCCTTCCCTGGTTTGTCATGTAGCAGGCCAATCCACATGAACTACTTCAAGACACCCCGCATCTCGTTCCACGACTTCACTTGACATCTGTCGATGTGTTCTCGTAAACAATCCTTCAGCCATGGGTGGTCAGAAATAGTAAAAGTCGAGACGGCGCCAACCATCAGAAACCAAAGCATGATATGGGAGGCAGCCCCATCGATAAGTTTGGGGTCTAGAAGGCAACTTTTGTAAATAGAAGGAAAGTAAACATAGGGCAACCTCAGATACTGCCACTTTAAGAAGACATTATAAGTCAACCCTAATAGGCTGAGCCGTACTGCTTCGTTAACCGAGCCTGTCTCAAAGCTCATGTGGAGAAGGCGATACATGACTGAGGCCATGGTATCATAGAGGAATCCCGGGGAAATCATTCGTTGGGTTTCGACGGCGAGATTGACGATTGAACGGAATCTCTCCATGACTCTCCAGGCTTCGACTAGACTCGCATCCATCTTGCGGAGCAAGCTTTCTAATTCATGTTGAGGGCTGATGACCCAAGTGCTGTTCCGAATTGACAAGAGCTTCTGGTCGGGATAAGGCACAACGGGTTCTGAACGAGGATTGTTGAAGAAGATAGGCTCTGATCCACTTTGCATGGCCATGCCTATATCGCATCTGTGCAGCCATCAGGTGCTTCAGGATCCGGCGAAATTTTAACAGGGCAACGAATGGCTGCTGCTTACCTGAACATTTCCGTGAGAAGCTTGCTACCTCTGAAGGCAACTACGTCCCCTCTTAGGTTGACCATCTTGCGAAGGCCCACCATGTGATGCTTGAAGGCCTCATCTTCACCCATAAAAAAGGCACTTACGGCCAAGGTTAAAACCACCGCTATTGTAGAATCCGAGGGTTTGGTGTTCTCATCTCCCAGTAAAAGCATTTTGCGTAGGATTTGAATACCTTTCAAAAAATGGACAGTTGCATCTTGGTTGGTGGTAGGATATTCTCGACCTAATATCTTGTTCATGAAGACCTCGGCAGCGAAGACGGTTACGTGAAGATAAGCAGCGTCGAATTTCAGTGGATCAAACCACGCCATGTCCTTGTAACTGAATCCAGTAACCATCAACAGGTCGAAAAGGGTAAGACAGGAAAATACTGGGTTGGTGGAGGTGCATTGTCTGCTCGCTACGCTTTATGGATGTTGCCGGAATCGATGATGGTGAGTTTGTGTACGTTTGTGTCTAGATGTGATATGCTGACTGGGGGTCGGGTAGGACGCGCTGTTAGCCTCCCTCTTCCCCTTCGCCAAGATGCTACGGGCCCAATCTAGAAGTAAAGAATGACTTGAGGAGAAGATGTGTCGAATTATCCCTCCGGCGGAGAGGGCCTAGGGGTCAATGAAGGGACCTATTTCAATGGACAAAGCCTACCCTTATGGGGACATCTATGCACAGTAGCTTACAAGTATGCTGAGAGCAGCGCCGTGGCGCCTAATAGCACCATTATTGAGGTGGTGAATGGCCATGCTTTGCACCGGTATTTATACAGCCTGGTTAGATCGGGCCACCCTTGTAAGCTGCTCAGGGACTTCTCAGTGAAGCTCTGTTAAAGGCTCACCTAATGGTCAGGCTAAAGGAGCCTTCGCTCACCCTCTAGGATCAAGCAGTAATTATTTGGTCGATAGGTTTTTTGGTTCCCGACTAATTTACGTGGCCAGGGGCGCTAAGGACTTCCCAGCAAACAGTGCAAACGCAGCAAACACGGCAAATGTGCTTGCAGCTTTCACGTGTTTCTCAACTTCGTCAACTGTATGAACTTAACCCTCGACTTCAGAGGCTGGGAAGTAGTCGGGCGAATTCTCTCTTAAAGAAAGGCCTGACTTTCAACCCGAAAATGCAGCGATCCGGATGAGCCTTGTTTTTTCACACTACTAGCCGCCATGTCTTCGCATTACACGACCGAACCTCCTCCAACTGCCTCAGTTCTTCTTCATACAACGGCTGGCCCTCTCACAATATCTCTGTTCGCGAACCAGACACCTTTAACATGCAGAAATTTCCTGCAGCATGTCCTCGACGGGGACTACGACAACAACATCTTTCACCGCGTCTCCCCGGGCTTTGTCATTCAAACTGGCGATCCGACCGGTACCGGCGAAGGTGGACAAAATATATACGAGGACAGGGAATTTGAACGATATGACGATGATTGGGCGCGGCTGATGGGGCGAGAAGAAGGCGAGAAGATCAATTTCGGAGATGAAATCCACAGCCGGCTGAAGTTTAACAGGAGAGGGTTGGTTGGTATGGCGAAAGGCACCGGAGACGGAGCAGGCTATGGCAGCCAATTCTTCATCACACTGGGAGACTGCAGAGCAGAGCTGGGTGGCAAGTGTACCATGTTTGGCCGGGTAGAGGGTGATGGTATATACAATGTGGTCAAAATCGCGGAAGGCGAGCTATTGGAAGGGAGCGAAAGACCAATGTACCCGGAGAAGATTCTCAGGGTCGAAATCATCGAAATGGCCCAGGGCGATGCATGGCAGAAAATGCGGAAAAGGACCAAAGTTGCGGAACGCACCGTGGAAGCTCCCGCAAAGAGAAAGGCGCCGAAAAAGAAGGGCGGGAAGACTCTACTCAGCTTTGCCGGAGATGAAGGCGAGGATGATGCTGGTGAAGTTGTCGTGCGACCAAAGAAGGCCAAATTCAATCCGGCTCTGATCGATAGCGAGGACGCCCCTGGACCAAAGCCAAAGACCAATGGTACTGCTCCTCAACCTCCCTCGATCGAGAAACCACGACAGAGATCAACCTCGCCCACGATCCCGCAAAAGCGCAAAGCAAGCCCCCCGCCGTCGACGAAATCTCCCACACGGGTTCAACGCCGGAAGCCATCATTCCATGACCCATTAACTCAACTCCCTCTTCGTAACCCAGAATCACCGTCTCGCTCCCCAACACCGGAAGAGAAACCGTCAGCATCCCGAACCTCCGCACTAGAAGCCGAGATCGACGCCCTGAAAGCATCCATGCGTCGCAACGTCGACGCCAAGGCCAACGGTTCCATATATAAGAAGTCGACCTTAGAATCCCTGATCCCAGCAACAAGCACAAGAGGTCGCAAACGACCTCGCCCAGGAGAATCCAATACCCGTGATGAGGCCAAGGCGCTAAAAATGCTGAACGACTTCAAAGCACGGCTGGAATCGGCGGACGTGCAGAGTAAAGCCCACTCTTCAAAGTCCACGAATGGTCACAAAGATAACAAAGACCACAACTTCCCATCAACCTCACCAGACAGGGATCCCAAACCCTCAGAAGTAGTTGCCGGTCCCACTAAACACGATGACGATGAAGAGGCAGCCCTATGTGACCTCCATTTCATCGCAAACTGTCAATCGTGTTCGAAGTGGGACAACCCGGCCAGCGCCGAGGCCGAAGAGTCCGAGGACGATGCGCAGTGGATGAGCCATTCGTTGTCGTTCGCCAAGGACCGGCTGGGCAAGGATCTGAACTGGAAAAGGAAGAACGAAGAGGAACTGGTAGTTATTGATCCGAGGGAGAAGGAGAAAGAGTTGAAATTAGAGAGGAAGCGCGAGAGAGACAGGGATAGAGATAGGGATAGGGACAGGGATAAAGGAAAAGGAAAGAGGAAAGAAAGGTGGTAGTCTTTGCATTTAGCTTTTGTATTTGTTTTAAAAATCAAAATGAACCCAGGAAGCAATCCAACCCCAATGAAAATTAAGGAACAAGCCAGCTAGTCAGTCATATACTTCGTTCCATGGACCTTCACGAACTCCCGCGACCTGGAAATTGAAAAAATGTAAAAAGGGAAGGAGGAGAGAGAAAGGGAGAGAAAGTCATTGACCATACGCGTCTCGGGCACAAACCGACCTACCAAATATATAAACACACATACTTGCGGTAGCTAAGCACGGAGCTGGCTAGGAATTGACATAAAACGCCAAATCGACAGTTTCGCCGAGCTTCTCCTTCTCCTCGGCCTCCGTCTCGAGGCGCGTGAAGCCGTTGCCCAATAGTCCGCGCCAGCGGTTCGGCGAGTTGTATCTGATGTCCCAGTCCTCGCCACGGATCTCGCGTAGGATGACCTCGCGGTACAGCAGAGCGCTACCGGGCCAGGTGGCCGTGACGCGGCCGTCGACGCGGTGCTTCTTGTACCAGCTCTTGCAGGCGCCCGTCCAGGTGAGCGTGTTGTGGATCTCATCGCCGTACGTGACGAACTCGTCGGTCGCCTCCTGCCGCGGCGCCGCGGACTTGATGTCCTCGCCCGCGATCTTGTGCAGCCATTTAATGATGTACTCAGCCGTCCAGGTCATGCTGGTGATCAGCGTGCCATGCCCGACCGTCGCGTTGGGGCCGGTGAAGATGAAGTAGTTGGGGAAATCCGGGCACGCGACGCTAAGGTAGCTCTCGGGCTCGTCTTTCCATTTCTCCGCCAGCGTCATTCCGTTGCGCCCCGTGACTGGGTAGTGAGGGATGTGCGAGACGTCGAAACCCGTGGCGCACACGATCACGTCAAGGTCGTATTGTGCGCCAGATTCTGTCTCGATCCCGGTCTCGGTAATTCGTGCGATGGGCGATTTCTCCAGCGACACGGTGGGCAGGAGGAACGACTCCAGGTAGCCTTCACCAGGGGTCAAGCGCCGGCAGCCCAGCGTCCAGTTTGGGATCAGTTTGTCACAGAGTTCGGGGTTGTTGTTTAAGGCGGCGCGCATCCGTTCGACAGTGACCTCGGTGGATTTGGAGTTTTGGACAGAGCCTTTGCGGAACTATACACGGTAACATGATGATGGATCAGCACGAAAGTCTTTGTAGAGAGCCACAAAGTCAATGGGACGCACATACCAGCCTGAATCCTTTGTTCATCCCGTGCTGCAACATCTTGCGATAAGCCTTATGTTTCTCTGGATTTCGAAACCTCCTCTTGTCGCTTTTTGTGTACCTTGGGTTGAAGGTACTTCCCACTTCCTCATCAGAAGGATTCACTTCCGTCATATCAACACCTTCATCACCATTTGTCATTTCCTGGTCCTCAGCCTCTTCGGTATCGGGCTGTCCGTCGCTGCCGACACCGAGTGCCTCGCCCAGGCTCTGAGTGATCCAAGTTGCTCCGCGCTGGAAACTCACTACCTGAGTACCAGGTAACTTGGCCATCTGCGGCAAGATTTGGATGGCGGATGATCCATTGCCAATGACTCCAATCTTTTTGTGCGTGTAGTCATAGGAATGATCCCAGCCGGCCGAATGCACCTTATGGCCCTTGAAGGTATGAAGGCCGGGTATATCTGGCCATTTCCATTGACTGGAGGAAGAAGATTAGAACCGTGTCTGCGTCATGAATCGTAGCCAGAAACGCAGATTTTGGAATGTGCTGGTCCTTGCTCGGATGAATCGTGTAGGGATTGGAGAGCAACCTACCTCAGAAACCCCTGAGCTGAAACGAGAACATCAGCGAGTTCATCCCTTTCTTCCCCGTCATTCTTCCGGACTCGAATCTTCCATTTTCCTTCATCTTCGAGCCAATTGAGGGCAATTACCCGGGTGTTGAATTGGATGTCCCGCCTCAGGTTCCACTTGTTGACCACTCTTCGCACGTACTCGAGAATCTCTGGGCCATCAGCATAGAATTTTGACCAGTCGGGGTTCGGGTCGAAAGGAAATGCCTAGATCAAGCAGAAAATCAATGTCTTGCTTTTCTCAGTAGTCGCCTGTATAAGAACGAAGCAGACTGACATAGATATGAGCTGGCACGTCGCACTGTACGCCCGGGTAAGTATTGACCTTCCACGTTCCACCAACGTCATCATTAGCCTCGAAGATAACGTGGTCGATAAACTCCTGTAGCTCCGGCAGTTCATGCTGGATCTTGTGGGCAAATATCAAGCCTGAGAAGCCAGCTCCGATAGTGGCGACGCGTAACTTGCGCTTCTTGTATGCATATTCGTCCGAGATTGGGACCCATATTTCTTTCAGTCGTTCAGGAGTGACCATATTCGCGACCAGGTCTTGAACACAGTAAGAGAATATGACAAAGATGCTCAAAAGTCCCGACTTGAAACAAGAACAACAAAACCAT